TCATTTATTGTAGACTTTTATTAAATGCAAAATCTTAGGCCCTGAGTGGAACACAGCAAACAAAACTTTAAAAATGCGAAGAAAAATATTTCCTTCGACTTTTAGCGCCATTCCGGCAGGTCGTTTGGGTCCGTCTCCCCGTCGTCGTCATACGGTAAAACTCCCGCCAGTTGTTTGGCCTCCGTAGTCAGTGCCACTTCCGGTAATGACGTCACGTAGCCCGTGTCTGACGGGTAAATTCGTGTGTTGACGTTTCTAGCAAACAGCTGCACGCCGCGGGCCGGCCAGTGTGTCGTCAGCTCCAGCTTCTCGTAGGCTTTTTGTTTGGTTTCTAGGTCATCCTGCTCGGCCCACGAGGCAGGCGCCATGCAGACGAACACGACGAAGCGCCACCTCCCAGGATTTGAGCGCCCCTCTTTGGGTCTGGCATTGGCGTGGAAGAGTCTGGAGTCCCACAGGATCATGCCGCCCCTGGGGCAGGGCACCCTCTTCCTGGGACAGCCCTGGTCCGTGAACCACTGGAGCTCCTTGTTAGACAACATCCAGCGCTGGCTGGTCTCCATAAATTCGTCAAACCGAAGGTGAGAACCTTCCAGAACTTCGAACGTCCAGTCGTCTTCAGCACACTCCTCCAAGAAAACAGAACCCTGCAGGAGTATTCAAGGGAAACAACTGTCGGGAAATCTTAAGATAAGCCCGGTCAAAAAGTTAACCCCCGCCACCTAAAAAAGATTTTTAAAAAGAGTATATGAAACTTGTACTTGTACCCTGAGGCGGAAAAGTTTTTTTTTGGCGTGCGTTTAAATTATTTAAATGACTAGACATCAGAGATAGGTCAAGGTTAATTGCATGCAGATAGGTCAAGGTTAATTGCATGCGTGAAAAAATAAATTAGAGCAGGCAAAAAGTGGCGGGGATAGACTTTTATCCCGTGCTATCTTTTGCATTAGTGACGGGGTTATTCGGACAAGGTGTTCGCTAAACATTGCATCTTTTAAAGCAGTTATTGTTTCAACCAATTTAAAGTACTGTCTTCAGTCGGCTCCGGTCCCCGCCCGAGTTTCTTCCAGGCATCTCTTCCTGCCCCCCCCCCCCCCCCCCGGAGAAAAAAGTCTGGAAGAAACACTGGTCCCCCCTGTCCCTGACCTACTGACCTGGTAAGCGTGTAGCCCCTTCCTGTCGGCCATCTGGTCGACGTGTATCCAGTTATCTTCTGGCGACCAAAACTTCTCCTCCCCATCCTCGGGTGGGCGTCCAATAGAAATACCGTCTATGCTGGACAACAGTTTCTTGGTGTGCCAAACCTTGGACCGATCAAGTCAAATATGTTCATTCATCTTTTTGTGGCGTGTGGCTTGACATTTGTGGCGTGTGGTTTGACATTTGTGGCATGTGGCTTGACATTTGTGGCGTGTGCCTTGACATTTGTGGCGTGTGGCTTGACATTTGTGGTGTGTGGTTTGACATTTGTGGCGTGTGGCTTGACATTTGTGGCATGTGGCTAGACATTTGTGGCGTGTGGCTTGACATTTGTTAGTGTGGCTAGACATTTGTGTAGATAGAAGTCTAATATAAAAATGTTCTACCTGCTCAAAAACAGATTTGGCCGCAAGTCTGACTTCCCAAGATGGCCTAAGATGGCCACACCTGTATCTCTGTATCAAGGAATATTTCGACTGAGGCCATTGGCCAGGAGGAAAACTTTGCAGCCAGTCTCTGGGAGAAACGGAGAAAAAATTCTGGCATTAAATGAGGGAGAAAATAACAGGATAACCTGTTTGATTTTATGAGGTAAGGGAAGTGAATGGTGAGGTAAAGGAGTTGAATGTTGAGGTAAAGGAGTTGAATGGTGAGGTAAAGGAGTTGAATGTTGAAACAAGTGAGATGGTGCATGTTTCTGTGATTTAAAACGTACCTCAAGTTTTCTTGGTGCCTGCGACACTCTGCCTCAGGGATGACGTCACTAACCACGGTGTAGCCCAGCCGGTCTAGATCTGCCTTGTGTCTCTCGGTAAACATTCTTTGTCAGCAACAAATCAGTACTCAGCATAAGTTGGGCCTATAGACTGTAGTCTGGTACAGCTACAGCATCAAACGCTTTAGAATCTTCACGCATGGGATTTTCCTATCAAATTAAAAAAATGTCTTTAAATAGGACATTTCATGTTTTATTCTATATTTTGTGGAAACCATCTATGGTTGTCTAAGTTAGACTAGACAACCATCTGTTGTCTATGTTTTGTTAGACTAGTGACTAGACAACCATCTGTAGACTATAGACGACAACCATCTGTTTAAGATAACAACCCTTTAACACACTTAGCGAGGAAAAGTAGAAAAAACGTACTAAAAGCCTGCTGCGTTGTGTGACTTACCAGAACAAGAAATCATGCATGAAGTTGATCCCAAATAAAGTCTGCCATGTATTGTAATTGTAGTGAACTTTTTCTCTGCCACTGTGGGAAAACCCATTGGTTTTCCCCCTTCTGTTTTCTGGGAAAATCCGCACCGTGCACAATTCGCAGTAAAGTAGACTAGACTCACACAGATGAGGCAATGATACACAGTTACATTATACATCTTTATCGTCTTTTAGTCTACTCAAATATTTTTGGAACTAGGTTTACCCGTTCATATAATTAAATCGTAAGCCAGACCGAGGTGGTGAACGAAAAAAAAGTCACAGGAAAAATAAACAAAAAAACAAAAAAAGTCAGTTTTTGCTAGAAAAAAAAGTCACAGGAAAAAAGTCACAAAAATCTTTTTAGAAATCTTTTGATTTATTTGTTAAGCAGTGTAAAATTTTGTATGTCAATTGTTGTGGGTTGTATTTTTTGATGGCGTTAATTATTTATAGACGTTAAAAGCATTATGGTTTATAACAATTGTAAATAAAAATACTCTAAGATAATTTACTCAACAATCTCAACTTTTGTTACGTATTTAGTTAAATACGCGGTTTAAAAGTTGATTATAAAAGAAATTTAGGCACATCATTGTGTTTTGCATATGTTTTGCCGAAGGCTATTCTCTGGTCGGACTCTCTCAGTAGGCATTGTCCGAACATATTTTGTTTTGTTGACGTTATGCGTCAATGACAGCCTTTGAACCTTGCCGGCTTTCTGTTTTGATCCTAAGTTTTGTTGTATAATGAGCGTGATAAATGTGAACTAAGCATAACTTTTGTTGCCATGAGTTGAGGGCTGCAAGTCAGATGAACTTACCATTTCACGATAATTTAATGTTGGTACTAAAAAAAAAACACGATGATAACCGTGGACGTTGGAGTATTCTATTAAATGTTATTATATTATGTTTAACATAATTACAATCTACAAACTTCATACTAAATATTTTTAAATGAATTATAAAAATTACTATGCGTATACAGCCTACACATTACATTTAATAAATCCTTAGTTAATTTGCACTCTCTGAATGTTTAATACATACATATATTAACAAATTCCATGCAAATGTATATTTGTGACTTTTTAGCGCAATTTCCATACGGACAATTGCGATTATTAACTCGTCATTTCTGGATGGATGAATGGATGGATGGATGAGTGTCCGCAGCTTTAAGTCGTATCTCCTCCCCAACGAAGCAATATCGAGGACTAGTTCCATAAGCAAATATGTTAAGCAAGTTCCAAGGATGATTGTGGGCTAAAAAAATTCCCGGAATTCCTTCCTGGATTTCCCAGAAAAGCCAAAATACCTCGAACAAATGCAGTTTTTGCTCCATATCTCGGCAACCAGATGGCAGCTGGGATGGTTGCTGGGATGTGATGGTAGCTGGGCTCTACAGCTCCTTGAACAAATACTAATAATCTTAATAAAAAATAAAATATTTGAAGTAAAAAAATTGTTAGTGGCTCTTTAAAACCAGGGAAATTTTGAAAATTGTAACTTTTGGCTCTTCCGCTTCAAAAGGTTGCCGACCCCTGGTATAGACCTACAGCGTAGTATATTATAACATTGTTGAAAGTTCGAATCTTATGATTATGACTCAGAGTCATGCGTTATAAGGCCAACACATAACGATATTATTATTTTTATTGTACCAATAACTTTTTTGAGGTTTCGGGTTTTTCCGTTACAAAAAATCTAAAAATAAATTTCTAGGAAAGTTGCCACTGAATGCATATTTTTGTCTTACACGTGTATAACACAGTATTGAGTAATCAGTTTAGACATTAAGTTCCTGGGATTTGTTCTGAGATCTTGTCTGGGATAGTTTGTCGTGGAACAGACGTAATGTATCAGCTAGGGGCCCTTTATCCCTTTTGCTAGAGGAGTGGCTAGCAGAGGTCATGTGTGGCTAGCAGAGGTCATGTGTGGCTAGCAGAGGTCATGTGTGGCTAGCAGAGGTCATGTGTGTCTGGCTAGCAGAGGTCATGTGTGTCTGGCTAGCAGGATAACAAAAGAGCCGCATGCGGCTCGCGAGCCGCAGGTTGGCGACCCCTGGTCTATACGATTTCATTGTAAAATTCTTACAAAATAATGACCTATTCTTTTCTTTTAAATTTCCCTCGATCCTTGTTGAACTTGTTGACAAAAAAGTTCACGACTTTGCTTCTGCTCAGTCTGCTGTCTTTTAATTTTGACTTGAGTCTACCTAATTACCTAATTACCTAATTACCTAGTCCTAACCAATCTGTGGAGTTGTTAGTAGATCTACAACAATGTACTTGCTATCGCTAGTTTGTACTGGGTCAAGTGTTCTTTTATTTAATCAATACAATTTCGTTTAGACTACTAATGTTTCTAAATATAGATACAGCCCATGCACTATACTACCGCTTTTATATGGAGCGATAACAAATGACTGAAATTACAGCTGGTTGTGAAATTATGGACAACTAGCCTACATAAAGGAAGTTTATTTCTTCTAAAATTCCGGAGCTGTTGTAGGTCCGGGTAGAATCAGAGCCACTGAACACACAGGAACCTTTACCAGAGGGCCACTGAACACACAGGAACCTTTACCAGGGCCACTGAACACACAGGAACCTTTACCAGGGCCACTAAACACACAGGAACCTTTACCAGAGCCACTGAACACACAGGAACCTTTACCAGAGCCACTGAACACACAGGAACCTTTACCAGGGCCACTAAACACACAGGAACCTTTACCAGAGCCACTGAACACACAGGAACCTTTACCAGAGCCACTGAACACACAGGAACCTTTACCAGAGCCACTGAACACACAGGAACCTTTACCAGAGCCACTGAACACACAGGAACCTTTACCAGGGCCACTGAACACACAGGAACCTTTACCAGGGCCACTAAACACACAGGAACCTTTACCAGAGCCACTGAACACACAGGAACCTTTACCAGGGCCACTAAACACACAGGAACCTTTACCAGAGCCACTGAACACACAGGAACCTTTACCAGAGCCACTGAACACACAGGAACCTTTACCAGGGCCACTGAACACACAGGCCAATTTATCAAGTATCTTACCAAAACTCAATACAGAACCAATCAACGTTTAAGCAGGCCTGTTTCATACAGTTTACCTCAATTGTATCACGCCTTCAACAGAGGTAAACTTCTGTATACAACACATACAAGTATTTACAATTTATGTCAATTATAATTGCAGTTTATTAGTACCTAAATATTCAGCTATCTATAATTGGTGGTCAATATTCAGCTTTATTTTATTTATATCAAATATATCAATAAGGATTCTATTTAACTAGGCCTTTATACAATTATACTTATAGTCTATTAAATGTAAGCGTCTATGGCATAGATCATTTAATATAGAGTAGTCCTCATTACATCTGTTATTGATGATAATGTCACTTGGTATTTTTACAATATAAGCCTTAGGCAACCTAAAAATAATGCAACCTTGTATTTTTCCATCTGTATCTTATTTTTACAATTTATAAGCCTGTAGGCAACCAAAACACACAAATAGAATGTAGTTATCTGTAATGTGTTAACGTACTGGTCACTTTATGCGTACATCGTGTTTCTATGGCAACAGAGAGGAGAATGTTGAGCCAGCAGAACAGAGAGGAGCTGGAGACCAGAGGTGTTACTGTTGTTGCTGACGTCATACCCCACTCTGACTGTGATCAATATCAAAAACTTTTCAGGTGAGTTAAAGCCCTCTTTTCATTTGTTCATTACATCAGTCGCACATATTTTACCTGTTTATATCTCTATCTCTATCTAATATCTATCTGTCGGTCTATATATATTATAATATATATATATATATATATATATATATATATATATATATATATATATATATATATATATATATATATATATATATATATATATATGCCTGAATTTTATATGTTAATATATGAAAACAAAATTGAAAAACCTCTACTCTTAACAAAATCCTGCCTACACCATTGATCAAAGGTTAAAGTGCATATTAAGGGTTAAAGTGCATGTTTACAACAAGTAACCAACCATAAACATCTGTGCTGAAGAGTTTTTCAGTGAACTCAAACTATGTTTTTCCAATAGAAAATGGACCAAAGGGTTTGGAATGCATGCATGGCCTCAAACAAAGAACTCTCTAATACAGAGGTACAGGTCAGGTCATCTACAGCCAGCATGGGAGGTTCGACTAGCTGCCAAGCCCGTGTTTGCACAGGTACCACTGACAGCAGACACTGAGAGCAGACACTGACAGCAGACACTGACAACATTCTGACATTAATCTCACACAGGTACCACTGACAGCAGACACTGACAGCAGACACTGACAGCAGACACTGACAGCAGACACTGACAGCAGACACTGACAGCAGACACTGACAACATTCTGACATTAATCTCACACAGGTACCACTGACAGCAGACACTGACAGCAGACACTGACAGCAGACACTGACAGCAGACACTGACAGCAGACACTGACAACATTCTGACATTAATCTCACACAGGTACCACTGACAGCAGACACTGACAACATTCTGACATTAATCTCACACAGGTACCACTGACAGCAGACACTGACAGCAGACACTGACAGCAGACACTGACAACATTCTGACATTAATCTCACACAGGTACCACTGACAGCAGACACTGACAGCAGACACTGACAGCAGACACTGACAACATTCTGACATTAATCTCACACAGGTACCACTGACAGCAGACACTGACAACATTCTGACATTAATCTTACAGGACATCAGCACAGGGGACACATAACATCATGACATTATCTTGTTGTAACTAAATTCTGTTCATAGAAATATATTGTGATGTTGTTTAAATATGAGATCTGATGTATGAAATCATACAATAAGTAACAATATTTACAATATAGAATTTAAACATATACAAGGGCACTGTGCTATTGTTAAGGTAGAGTCCCCAGATGTTCAAATTTATCAACTAATGTTGTGAAGTGTTAGTTGTGTCAATTCATATGCTGTGAGTAAATTCATGTGCTGTGAGTAAATTCATGTGCTGTGAGTAAATTCATGTGCTGTGAGTAAATTCATGTGGTGTGAGTAAATTCATGTGCTGTGAGTAAATTCATGTGCTGTGAGTAAATTCATGTGGTGTGAGTAAATTCATGTGGTGTGAGTAAATTCATGTGCTGTGAGTAAATTCATGTGCTGTGAGTAAATTCATGTGGTGTGAGTAAATTAATGTGCTGTGAGTAAATTCATGTGCTGTGAGTAAATTCATGTGCTGTGAGTAAATTCATGTGGTGTGAGTAAATTCATGTGGTGTGAGTAAATTCATGTGCTGTGAGTAAATTCATGTGGTGTGAGTAAATTCATGTGGTGTGAGTAAATTCATGTGGTGTGAGTAAATTTATGTGGTGTGAGTAAATTCATGTGGTGTGAGTAAATTCATGTGGTGTGAGTGAATTCATGTGCTGTGAGTAAATTCATGTGCTGTGAGTAAATTCATGTGGTGTGAGTAAATTCATGTGCTGTGAGTAAATTCATGTGGTGTGAGTAAATTTATGTGGTGTGAGTAAATTCATGTGGTGTGAGTAAATTCATGTGGTGTGAGTAAATTCATGTGGTGTGAGTAAATTCATGTGCTGTAAGTAAATTTATGTGGTGTGAGTAAATTCATGTGCTGTGAGTAAATTCATGTGCTGTAAGTAAATTCATGTGGTGTGAGTAAATTCATGTGCTGTGAGTAAATTCATGTGCTGTGAGTAAATTCATGTGGTGTGAGTAAATTCATGTGGTGAGTAAATTCATGTGGTGTGAGTAAATTCATGTGGTGTGAGTAAATTCATGTGGTGTGAGTAAATTCATGTGGTGTGAGTAAATTCATGTGCTGTGAGTAAATTCATGTGGTGTGAGTAAATTCATGTGGTGTGAGTAAATTCATGTGGTGTGAGTAAATTCATGTGCTGTGAGTAAATTCATGTTGAGTTAAATCATGTGGTGTGAGTAAATTCATGTTCTGTGAGTAAATTCATGTGGTGTGAGTAAATTCATGTGCTGTGAGTAAATTCATGTGGTGTGAGTAAATTTATGTGGTGTGAGTAAATTCATGTGGTGTGAGTAAATTCATGTGGTGTGAGTGAATTCATGTGCTGTGAGTAAATTCATGTGCTGTGAGTAAATTCATGTGGTGTGAGTAAATTCATGTGCTGTGAGTAAATTCATGTGGTGTGAGTAAATTTATGTGGTGTGAGTAAATTCATGTGGTGTGAGTAAATTCATGTGGTGTGAGTAAATTCATGTGGTGTGAGTAAATTCATGTGCTGTAAGTAAATTTATGTGGTGTGAGTAAATTCATGTGCTGTGAGTAAATTCATGTGGTGTGAGTAAATTCATGTGGTGTGAGTAAATTCATGTGGTGTGAGTAAATTTATGTGGTGTGAGTAAATTCATGTGGTGTGAGTAAATTCATGTGGTGTGAGTGAATTCATGTGCTGTGAGTAAATTCATGTGCTGTGAGTAAATTCATGTGGTGTGAGTAAATTCATGTGCTGTGAGTAAATTCATGTGGTGTGAGTAAATTTATGTGGTGTGAGTAAATTCATGTGGTGTGAGTAAATTCATGTGGTGTGAGTAAATTCATGTGGTGTGAGTAAATTCATGTGCTGTAAGTAAATTTATGTGGTGTGAGTAAATTCATGTAAAAAAAGTAAAGTTTCCCTTTCAAACCTGACGGTCTATGGGGCAAGTGAAGTAGAGTTCACTTGTTTCTGTGACCTCGGCATATGAAGAGATAGTGTGGTCAGCACTATGCCCAGCCGCCTTTACTTTCCCTAACGTGAGTGAGTTAGGTACCCATCAGAGTTGGGTGGACTCAGGGACGGTCTACTGACTTGAACCCGGATTCGAACTCGAGACTTACGGGTTAGCAGTCCAGCTCTCCACCGCTAGACCACTCCGTCCCATGTAAATTCATGTGCTGTGAGTAAATTCATGTGCTGTAAGTAAATTCATGTGGTGTGAGTAAATTCATGTGCTGTGAGTAAATTCATGTGCTGTGAGTAAATTCATGTGGTGTGAGTAAATTCATGTGGTGAGTAAATTCATGTGGTGTGAGTAAATTCATGTGGTGTGAGTAAATTCATGTGGTGTGAGTAAATTCATGTGGTGTGAGTAAATTCATGTGCTGTGAGTAAATTCATGTGGTGTGAGTAAATTCATGTGGTGTGAGTAAATTCATGTGGTGTGAGTAAATTCATGTGCTGTGAGTAAATTCATGTTGAGTTAAATCATGTGGTGTGAGTAAATTCATGTTCTGTGAGTAGATTCATGTGGTGTGAGTAAATTCATGTGCTGTGAGTAAATTCATGTGGTGTGAGTAAATTCATGTGGTGTGAGTAAATTCATGTGGTGTGAGTGAATTCATGTGCTGTGAGTAAATTCATGTGGTGTGAGTAAATTCATGTGGTGTGAGTAAATTCATGTGCTGTGAGTAAATTCATGTGCTGTGAGTAAATTCATGTGGTGTGAGTAAATTCATGTTGAGTAAATTCATGTGCTGTGAGTAAATTCATGTGGTGTGAGTAAATTCATGTGCTGTGAGTAAATTCACGTGGTGTGAGTAAATTCATGTGGTGTGAGTAAATTCATGTGGTGTGAGTAAATTCATGTGGTGTGAGTGAATTCATGTGCTGTGAGTAAATTCATGTGTTGTGAGTAAATTCATGTGGTGTGAGTAAATTCATGTGCTGTGAGTAAATTCATGTGGTGTGAGTAAATTCATGTTGAGTAAATTCATGTGCTGTGAGTAAATTCATGTGCTGTGAGTAAATTCATGTGGTGTGAGTAAATTTATGTGCTGTGAGTAAATTCATGTGGTGTGAGTAAATTCATGTGGTGTGAGTAAATTCATGTGGTGTGAGTAAATTGATGTGCTGAGTAAATTCATGTGCTGTAAGTAAATTCATGTGCTGTGAGTAAATTCATGTGCTGTGAGTAAATTTATGTGGTGTGAGTAAATTCATGTGGTGTGAGTAAATTCATGTTGAGTAAATTCATGTGGTGTGAGTAAATTCATGTGCTGTGAGTAAATTCATGTGCTGTGAGTAAATTCATGTGCTGTGAGTAAATTCATGTGCTGTGAGTAAATTCATGTGGTGTGAGTAAATTCATGTGCTGTGAGTAAATTCATGTGCTGTGAGTAAATTCATGTGGTGTGAGTAAATTCATGTGGTGTGAGTAAATTCATGTGGTGTGAGTAAATTCATGTGGTGTAAGTAAATTCATGTGGTGTGAGTAAATTCATGTGCTGTGAGTAAATTCATGTGGTGTGAGTAAATTCATGTGGTGTGAGTAAATTCATGTGGTGTGAGTAAATTCATGTGGTGTGAGTAAATTCATGTGGTGTGAGTGAATTCATGTGCTGTGAGTAAATTCATGTGGTGTGAGTAAATTCATGTGGTGTGAGTAAATTTATGTGGTGTGAGTAAATTCATGTGCTGTGAGTAAATTCATGTGCTGTGAGTAAATTCATGTGCTGTGAGTAAATTTATGTGGTGTGAGTAAATTCATGTGGTGTGAGTAAATTTATGTGGTGTGAGTAAATTCATGTGCTGTGAGTAAATTTATGTGGTGTGAGTAAATTCATGTGCTGTGAGTAAATTCATGTGCTGTGAGTAAATTCATGTGGTGTGAGTAAATTCATGTGGTGTGAGTAAATTCATGTGGTGTGAGTAAATTCATGTGTTTTGTATTGGACCTCCCCAGCTTTGGCAGACTGACAAACTTCTCAGCAGTCTAGACGCCATAGCTATAGGTCGACCTCCAGAGCAGGGGGAGGAGACCTTCTGGTCACCAGCGGACAACTGGGTGCACGTGGACCAGACATCTGACCGCTTGGGATTACATGCCTATCAGGTTAATGAATTTATTCAGTTGTTGAAGTCAGTGTCAAATCAAACACACATATTCTGATTGGTTTGACTGGAGCATTTTTTTCCTTTTATCACAGGGCGCCGTGTACTTGGAGGAGTGTGCAGAAGACGACTGGACCTTTGAAGTTCTGGAAGGTTCCCATAAATATTTTGATGAGTTCATGGACAAAAATCAAGTTTTGAGATTAAAGCCCCATCACTTGGAGTGGTTTGCAGAGAAAAACTGCCCACGCAGAAGAATTCCATGTCCTAAAGGTGGGATGGTGCTGTGGGACTCTAGACTCTTCCATGCCAATGCCAGGCCCATCCAAGGTCGCCCCAACCCCAGAAGGTGGCGCTACGTCGTGTTTGTGTGCATGGCTCCAGCCTCCTGGGCCACGCCATCAGATTTACAGCTGAAACGTAAGGCGTATGAGGAGCTGAAGCTGACCACACACTGGCCATCACAGGGGGTGGCTATTTTCTCAACACGAATCAACAAGAATGAAGTTGAGGACCCAAATCTTCTACCTGAATTACCAGAAGTGGCGCGAAGTGATGAGGCTAAAAGGCTTGTTGGCATTTTACCCTACCCAGATGATGGGAAGGATGAGCCAGATTTTCGTCCCAAGTGGGACAAAACCAAAGGATTAGATGAAGAAACATTTAATGAAGCTGGAATGAGAAAGAAACCACCTTATAAAGCATAGAGGGAATAAACTTAATAAAATGTTTTTGTACAAATATTACCAAATTGTTGTGTGCATATTATTTTACAAGTTCTGAGAGTATGAAATAATTTTGAAGCTTGTTTTACACTGGAATGTTTGCACATCAAATGAAGATATTCACCTAGAACTTTTGGCAACTTGCCCTCTGTAAAGGAAATCTTTAGTTTTTTCATATGTTCACTAGCATGAATTCAATAGTCGTAGGATCTAGACCTACTGAAATGTATGAGTAGTAGGATCTAGACTTACACGCAATAAAGCACACAATACTCGATAGGATTTATTCCAATTTATTGAAAATTTAAAAGAAACCATCAATTATAAAATAAAAACATTTTTTTTTTTATTTAATTTTTCCTGACCAAACAAAAAATCTGCCTCTGTGTTAGCTTACCATACAATGTATCTCAAGTTATAAAATAAAAACATTTTTTTTTTTAATTTAATTTCTCCTGACCTAACAAAAAATCTGCCTGTGTGTACAATGTATCTCAAGTTATAAAATAAAAACATTTTTTTTAAATTTGATTTCTCCTGACCTAACAAAAAATCTGCCTGTGTGTTAGCTTACCCTACAATGTATCTCAAGTAATAAAATAAAAACATTTTTTTTTTAAATTTAATTTCTCCTGACCTAACAAAAAATCTGCCTGTGTGTACAATGTATCTCAAGTTATAAAATAAAAACATTTTAAAAAAATTTAATTTCTCCTGACCTAACAAAAAATCTGCCTGTGTGTACAATGTATCTCAAGTTTTTCAAATAGGAAGTTGACGTGCCAGACTACACAGTCATGTTTTGTTAGTGGTCAATATTTTAAAATATCCAAGCTCCAGGAATTGAACTTTCATAAATGTAGTTTATTTTCTTCTGATGGACAACCTGGCTTGTAGCTACCAGAGACATCAAACAACAGGAGACTAAGTAAAGCTGTGTACTAGGTTACAATCATAACAGCTACAACTGATTGAAACAGACTAATAAAATGAAAAGGCAATATAGTTACATGGTGCTTACAGACATTAGGGGTACACATAATGTATTTGGTCAACACATTTCTTTCAATCAGTGGTATGAATGTAACATAAAGTTAAAATTATGAAAATGTTTAAAAATTAACAATCAACAGTTAACAAAATTTTGTTGGGTTAGTCACGAGGCACGTTGACCTAACAGACTGGTTACTCTAAGCTATCTACACATTTTTTTATAAGATTTGATCAGTGTAAAATCATTCAATATCAGAAACAAATATGAACAATAATAATGAAAAGCAAAATGTAAGAGTAGAATAATGACCATCTAAACTTATAAGAAAGAAAAATTCATTGGTGTAACTTTAAAATGTGACGCTGTGCTTCCACAAAGATACTGCATGGACACCCACCTTTGCAAACAAGCACGTTGCACGTGATCTTTAAGAAGATTTAATAAAGTTGTGTAACTGTGTCACTATTGCGTCATCTAATTTGTCATCACCAATCTGTGAATAAAGATTGTTTATTTGAATATATGTTTTCAAGATGATTCTAGTTATCAAATTCACTCAATTATGCAAACATTTTCTATTAATACCTGAGAAAAAAAAGCAGTCTTTGGCAATTTCCGTACCTTATTTAAAATGTTACCAAAATCTGACAAGATTCTTACCTTATTTAAAATGTTATCAAAGTCTGACAAGATTCTTACCTTATTTAAAATGTTATCAAAGTCTGACAAGATTCTTACCTTATTTAAAATGTTATCAAAGTCTGACAAGATTCTTACCTTATTTAAAATGTTATCAAAGTCTGCTAGTCTTTGGTCCTTAGAAAACCTGAAGATGTTAAATATAAAGTAATAAGTTAAATATAAATTATAAACTTAAAAAAAGTATAAATTTAAATATAAAATAGAATGTAAAATATAACGTTAAAAATAAAATTGAGTTTGAACAAAATCAACCAGAAAAGTTCGAAGTGCAAGAAACTATTTGAATATAAAAATGCTGATAGTTACAGTTTAACCAAGTCTTTGACAGAATTCTTTATCTTTTTTTTAGTTTCTCGTAAATCTTTTGACCTCTTGTTGCTGGCTTCAATCAACTGCTTAGAGAAATCTGTCAGATTTGTTTTAACCATCACTTCTGGGTCAGATGCTGAAAAAATAAAAAAATTCCTAGCTCATTTACCTATACATACACAGCTATTTGTTTCATAAAAGTAATTATTTGACAAAAGGATTTCAAAATATTTTGATCATGGACTCAGAACACAACTAGACATTTGGGGCATTTTGTTTTAAACGCAGAACAATACAAGTAGGCATTATTAAAAGCTGCTAGAATTCAAATATTTTTTAAAAAGTATAAATCAGGGGCATTTAGAGTTATAGGTGTATAAGTGAAAATTGTGAGTTATTCAAAAGGTAAAAATATATTTGAGTAAAAAAATGTGACAAGACTCACATTTAAGAGCCACTTCTCTGCTTGTTGTCACTTTTCTAAGACTTGTCCAAACTCTTTCACCCCGGCAGCCTAAACACAAAATTGTGTTAGGGTTAATAAATGTGTCACCAAAGGCTTGTGTCACCAGAGATTTGTGTTAGTGAAGTGATAGGTGGTACTTTTGTGAAAAAATATATGTTCTACAGCAACTGGTACTTAGAATTACCTCTCATGTCTGTGTAAGATATTTGAAATTATTCTACAGCAACTGGTACTTAGAGTTACCTCTCATGTCTGTGTAAGATATTTGAAATTATTCTACAGCAACTGGTACTTAGAGTTACCTCTCATGTCTGTGTAAGATATTTGAAATTATTCTACAGCAACTGGTACTTAGAATTACCTCTCATGTCTGTGTAGGTGATCTGAACTTGCAGTGGGTACTCCTTGTTGTCTGGCTGAGAGCTGATTGAATGATCCCCATTTGTTGTGGGAGCTGGTGGCATGACTGGAGGCTGGACATTGTTGTCAACATTGGAGGGTTTTTTATCTCTATCTGAGGCAGACACAAACATCATCCAAAAACTGTAGCAAAACTTGCTGCAACTTGTTTTACTCATTATATTAAATATTAATTTACTCACAACTGCATTACATGATTACATGGTGATTTCTTATTAACTGTAATATTTATATTTATAATTATTATATCAATTGGATACAATACTCAATAGGCCCGCCCTTTACAATTTTCAATTAAAGTGTTTATGAAGTTCAGACTAGTGGCTTAAAGGACATTTTAAGTTCAATGTAAAGCTAATAGTTTATAGTTAGACAACTTGAGCTCAAGTAATCAGCCTGTCAAGTAGACAACTTGAGCTCAAGTAATCAGCATGTTAAGTAAACAACTTGAGCTCAAGTAATCAGCAAGTAGACAACTTGAGCTCAAGTAATGAGCAAGTAGACAACTTGAGCTCAAGTAATCAGCCTGTTAAGTAGACAACTTGAGCTCAAGTAATCAGCCTGTTAAGTAGACAACTTGAGCTCAAGTAATTAGCCTGTCAAGAAGACAACTTTAGCTCAAGTAATCAGCCTGTCAGGTAGACAACTTGAGCTCAAGTAATCAGCCTGTCAAGAAGACAACTTGAGCTTAAGTAATCAGCCTGTCAGGTAGACAACTTGAGCTCAAGTAATCAGCCTGTCAAGAAGACAACTTGAGCTCAAGTAATCAGCCTGTCAAGAAGACAACTTGAGCTCAAGTAATCAGCAAGTAGACAACTTGAGCTTAAGTAATCAGCAAGTAGACAACTTGAGCTCAAGTAATCAGCCTGTCAAGTAGACAACTTGAGCTCAAGTAATCAGCCTGTCAGGTAGACAACTTGAGCTCAAGTAATTAGCCTGTCAAGAAGACAACTTGAGCTCAAGTAATCAGCCTGTCAAGAAGACAACTTGAGCTCAAGTAATCAGCAAGTAGACAACTTGAGCTTAAGTAATCAGCAAGTAGACAACTTGAGCTCAAGTAATCAGCCTGTCAAGTAGACAACTTGAGCTCAAGTAATCAGCATGTTAAGTAAACAACTTGAGCTCAAGTAATCAGCAAGTAGACAACTTGAGCTCAAGTAATCAGCCTGTCAAGTAGACAACTTGAGCTCAAGTAATCAGCCTGTCAAGAAGACAACTTGAGCTCAAGTAATCAGCCTGTCAAGAAGACAACTTGAGCTCAAGTAATAAGCCTGTCAAGAAGACAACTTGAGCTCAAGTAATCAGCCTGTCAAGAAGACAACTTGAGCTCAAGTAATAAGCCTGTCAAGAAGACAACTTGAGCTCAAGTAATCAGCCTGTCAAGAAGACAACTTGAGCTTAAGTAATCAGCCTGTTAAGTAGACAACTTGAGCTCAAGTAATCAGCATGTCAAGAAGACAACTTGAGCTAAGTTATGTAAACCTACCTGGAATTCCTGGGGATTGTTCCCCTTGTCCTTTAGAAGCTGGAGCGTTTGGTTTGTTGTCATTGGGTGCTGTATTTGTTTGCTGGTTAGAAGTTCCAGAATTTATTTGTTGGGTCCCTGGGTTTGCCTGTGTCTTATTTTCTTCCTTCTTTCTTTTACCAAGTGTAAATACCAAAGAGCTGTTCTTGTGTATGTTACCCACTTTATAGAAATACTTGCTAGCTTTTGTTCTCTCCCCCACCTGCTTGACAAACCTTAGAAAAAAGATGTTTATTTTTTTAAGAAGGGAAACAAGTTAAATTTGTTAGCAAACCAATAAAAACAAACTTTTGCTAAACCTACTTTTACAAATGTAAAACAATTTTTGTGTGTTTGTAAATTACTTCTATAGAATCTATGTCCAGGCTTATAAAAATTTGTATTGTAGATTTAACAAGGGCTAAATATAGAACTAACATGTCACTGTGCACCACATAAGTAATTTCAACATCAGTGGCAATGGTGGCTTGGTTGAGCTCTTCTGATATTGGCTCATCAAGTTTGTCTGGTTTGATGAAGGCAATCTGCAGACAAGAACAAACTCTTTCATTCTAACTTTACAATAAATCTGTTACTCTCAATAAGTCAGGTCATTTGGTCCATCTGAGTCAGGTCATTTGGTCCATCTGAATAAGTCAGGTCATTTGGTCCATCTGAGTCAGGTCAAATGGTCCATCTGAGTCTGGTCATTTGGTCCATCTGAATAAGTCAGGTTATTTGGTCCATCTGAATCAGTCATTTGGTCCATCTGAGTCTGGTCATTTGGTCCATCTGAATAAGTCAGGTCATTTGGTCCATCTGAATAAGTCAGGTCATTTGGTCCATCTGAGTCAGGTCAAATGGTCCATCTGAGTCTGGTCATTTGGTCCATCTGAATAAGTCAGGTCATTTGGTCCATCTAAACATCAGGTCATTTGGTCCATCTAAATAAGTCCGGTCATTTGGTCAATCTGAGTCAGGTCATTTGGTCCATCTAAATAAGTCAGGTCATTTGGTCCATCTGAGTCAGGTCATTTGGTCCATCTGAATAAGTCAGGTCATTTGGTCCATCTGAGTCAGGTCATTTGGTCCATCTGAATAAGTCAGGTTATTTGGTCCATCTGAATCAGTCATTTGGTCCATCTGAGTCAGGTCATTTGGTCCATCTGAATAAGTCAGGTCATTTGGTACATCTGAATAAGTCAGGTCATTTGGTCCATCTGAATAAGTCAGGTCATTTGGTCCATCTGAGTCAGGTCATTTGGTCCATCTGAATAAGTCAGGTCATTTGGTACATCTGAATAAGTCAGGTCATTTGGTCCATCTGAATAAGTCAGGTCATTTGGTCCATCTGAATAAGTCAGGTCATTTGGTTCATCTGAATAAGTCAGGTCATTTGGTCCATCTGAATAAGTCAGGTCATTTGGTCCATCTGAATAAGTCAGGTCATTTGGTCCATCTAAACATCAGGTCATTTGGTCCATCTAAATAAGTCCGGTCATTTGGTCCATCTGAGTCAGGTCATTTGGTCCATCTAAATAAGTCAGGTCATTTGGTCCATCTGAGTCAGGTCATTTGGTCCATCTGAATAAGTCAGGTCATTTGGTCCATCTGAGTCAGGTCATTTGGTCCATCTGAATAAGTCAGGTTATTTGGTCCATCTGAATCAGTCATTTGGTCCATCTGAGTCAGGTCATTTGGTCCATCTGAATAAGTCAGGTCATTTGGTACATCTGAATAAGTCAGGTCATTTGGTCCATCTGAATAAGTCAGGTCATTTGGTCCATCTGAGTCAGGTCATTTGGTCCATCTGAATAAGTCAGGTCATTTGGTACATCTGAATAAGTCAGGTCATTTGGTCCATCTGAATAAGTCAGGTCATTTGGTCCATCTGAATAAGTCAGGTCATTTGGTACATCTGAATATGTCAGGTCATTTGGTCCATCTGAATAAGTCAGGTCATTTGGTCCATCTGAATAAGTCAGGTCATTTGGTACATCTGAATAAGTCAGGTCATTTGGCAGAGGCGTATCCAGGTTTTCGTTGTAGGGGGAGCGAAAAGAGCAAAAAAGGCGCCGAATTTTTAACACGTTCTATATACGTGTATTATATATATATATATATATATATATATATATATATATATATATATATATATATATATATATATATATATATATATATAATTACTAGCACTCTGAAGAATAAGAAAAAAAAACACACAATATAGGCCGACAAAACAAAAATTGTATCAATCTAAACAAACAAAAAAATATACACACATACAACCAAAAACAATGAACGTAACACAATCTGTTTTGTAATACCTGTAAAAAAAATTCTTACATAATAATTCCTGGGAAATTATTTAAGACAAGTGAAATAGGGGAAATAATCACTCTCTTGATATAAATATGTATATATCTACACATTTAATTATATAAAATGTCAAAACAAATAAATAATTACTTTAGAATATAATGTAATTTTTTAGCACTATTCGTTTTTACAAATGTTTTTGTCTACAATCAGAATTTAATACATCGTCATCATAAATGCTAAAGTATTACAGCATAATGAAAGTTTTTAAAATCAGAGTTGGTATAAAAGCACGCTTTTCAATAGTATTGAAGAAACATTCGGATTAACAGCCTACATTTAAATAAATATTGGTCTTTTTGTTCAGATCAATGGCGTAGCAAGGTCGGGTGTCACCCGGTGCGGCACTTAATGGTGTCACCGCCCCCCCCCCCCCCAAAGGCGTAGCGACTCTTCCCGGGGACAAACTTTCAATTTTCGATTTGCACCCCCCCCCTCAAACTTTCGATTTGCACCCCCCTCGAAATTTCGATTTGCACCCTCCCCCCCTCAAATTTTTCTCTATATATTTTACTATTTTTTGCCTTGGTATCACCCCCCTAAATGGTGTCACCCGGTGCGGTCCGCACCCCCCGCACCCCCCCCCTTGCTACGCCTCTGGTTCAGATTATATATTTTTAATTAACTACTGCTTCTTTGTGTTCTTTAAAGATCATTTTTAACATAGTGATAGGTATGGGTTAGATCACTGTATTGATCACACACCTTTTTACTGGTAATTGCAAAAACAATATTCACAGTTTTACGTTTAAAAAGCTAATTTTCTGGCGGCATGGTAGTTCGGTACATCATTACGTGTTTTTCTACATGTACTTAACAGATCAGTTCGGGTGGGTTGGGGGGGGGGGGGGGGGTTCAACTTCATTCAACACTGTCCGGTCACTTTAGGTCAATTATCCAACCCAGTGTATACCTAGGTGTGACATTAATGTCGCTCTACACGATTGTGGTGGTGAGGTGGGGGGGGGGGGGGGGGGGGGGGAGATAACCAACTCAGAGTGAACATAGCGTCAGTTTTTAGATGACTGTTCTAAACATACATATATATTGCAAAATATATATTACACAAATATATATTACAGAAATAGATTTAAATAAGTAGCAGTGGTATTATGACAATATTTTTTTTTACCGAGGGGTCCATGGGGGAGGGGGTTGTAACTGTTTCATATAATTTGTAATCGTAATCACTATCGCCCAAATTATTCGTAAGCAAATACATTATACAGTTGCCTTAAACTTAACACCCCTCTTGCCAAGTGGTACTACCCGTAGAGGTTTTTTTAAACATTGCAATGCATCGTAATGGTTGTTTTTAGAATCGCAAACTGATGCAGCTGTTAATACGTGTTGTAAACGTAGACGCTACTAGACTAGTACAATAATGCTTAATTGCTGCATGAAAAGAAATGTTGTGATTTACATAGATGTGCCGATCAAAAATATTTTTTTAACAAATATCATTTGAGTTGAAAAAGTTTCCAAAAAGGCGCCACTTTGCTGAAAATGGCCAGAGGGGGAGCGGCTGCTCCCCCTGCTCCCCCCCTGCGTACGCTACTGTCATTTGGTCCATCTGAATAAGTCAGGTCATTTGGTACATCTAAATAAGTCAGGTCATTTGGTCCATCTGAATAAGTGTCAGCAGTAGGGCTGGGTGTCAGGGCTGGGTGTCAGGACTTACTGTTCCTCCTGTCTCATGGCACAATGGCTGTAGGGTATCCAGCTGACAGCTGTCAATGGACATTACGGATGTGGATAGGCTGGATAAAAGAAAATAAATTGGTGTCAGCCCAGTGGTAGAATTGTAACACTAGATAAAAATCTTGAAACAAAAAAATGCTTGTGCTAGACCAGGTTAAAGCAGACAGGTTTTTGGAAAGGTTGGTTATTGTCATATTTAATAGTCTTTTTAACATTAGATTTGATTGATTAGTAGTTTATATTTCAAGTGTTTTTTTATTGAAACTATTAATACACTATTTTAAAGACTTATCATTGATCCCAATTCCGACTTTAGCCTGCTTTTCTTTCTGGATTTACCTTCATAACCTTTGTCCACCCAAGACAATATGCAAGGCAGCAGTTGTTTGATTGGATAGTTACCTCTGCTGGATGGGTTGCTGTCCCCAGCTGACAAGTCTCATCTGCCTGAGGGGGTCCAAACTCTGGACTTTTGGAGTTGGCAATCATACGCTCACCCACCCGACCATGCCATCCCCAGGGTAGGACTAGTGCAAGTTTTTCTTCTCTAGACTATCTCAAAGTTAGTTGAGGTAAATAAAACCCAGCATCCAAGAACTTACCCCAACTCTTTACACTCCTTCTTGGCTTCTTTATAAAAGGCCTCAATGATATCTGTGGCTTACCCCAACTCTTTACACTCCTGCTTGGCTTCTTTATAAAAGGTCTCAATGATATCTGTGGCTTACCCCAACTCTTTACACTCCTGCTTGGCTTCTTTATAAAAGGTCTCAATGATATCTGTGGCTTACCCCAACTCTTTACACTCCTGCTTGGCTTCTTTATAGAACTTATCAATGATATCTGTGGCTTACCCCAACTCTTTACACTCCTTCTTGGCTTCTTTATAAAACTTATCAATGATATCTGTGGCTTACCCCAACTCTTTACACTCCTTCTTGGCTTCTTTATAGAAGGCCTCAATGATATCTGTGGCTTACCCCAACTCTTTACACTCCTGCTTGGCTTCTTTATAAAAGGTCTCAATGATATCTGTGGCTTACCCCAACTCTTTACACTCCTGCTTGGCTTCTTTATAAAAGGTCTCAATGATATCTGTGGCTTACCCCAACTCTTTACACTCCTGCTTGGCTTCTTTATAGAAGGCCTTAATGATATCTGTGGCTTACCCCAACTCTTTACACTCCTGCTTGGCTTCTTTATAAAAGGTCTCAATGATATCTGTGGCTTACCCCAACTCTTTACACTCCTTCTTGGCTTCTTTATAAAACTTATCAATGATATCTGTGGCTTACCCCAACTCTTTACACTCCTTCTTGGCTTCTTTATAAAAGGTCTCAATGATATCTGTGGCTTACCCCAACTCTTTACACTCCTGCTTGGCTTCTTTATAAAAGGTCTCAATGATATCTGTGGCTTACCCCAACTCTTTACACTCCTGCTTGGCTTCTTTATAAAAGGTCTCAATGATATCTGTGGCTTACCCCAACTCTTTACACTCCTTCTTGGCTTCTTTATAAAAGGCCTCAATGATATCTGTGGCTTACCCCAACTCTTTACACTCCTTCTTGGCTTCTTTATAAAAGGTCTCAATGATATCTGTGGCTTACCCCAACTCTTTACACTCCTTCTTGGCTTCTTTATAAAAGGCCTCAATGATATCTGTGGCTTACCCCAACTCTTTACACTCCTGCTTGGCTTCTTTATAAAAGGTCTCAATGATATCTGTGGCTTACCCCAACTCTTTACACTCCTGCTTGGCTTCTTTATAGAAGGCCTCAATGATATCTGTGGCTTACCCCAACTCTTTACACTCCTTCTTGGCTTCTTTATAAAAGGTCTCAATGATATCTGTGGCTTACCCCAACTCTTTACACTCCTTCTTGGCTTCTTTATAAAAGGTCTCAATGATATCTGTGGCTTACCCCAACTCTTTACACTCCTTCTTGGCTTCTTTATAAAAGGTCTCAATGATATCTGTGGCTTACCCCAACTCTTTACACTCCTTCTTGGCTTCTTTATAAAAGGTCTCAATGATATCTGTGGCTTACCCCAACTCTTTACACTCCTTCTTGGCTTCTTTATAAAAGGTCTCAATGATATCTGTGGCTTACCCCAACTCTTTACACTCCTTCTTGGCTTCTTTATAAAAGGTCTCAATGATATCTGTGGCTTACCCCAACTCTTTACACTCCTTCTTGGCTTCTTTATAAAAGGTCTCAATGATATCTGTGGCTTACCCCAACTCTTTACACTCCTGCTTGGCTTCTTTATAAAAGGTCTCAATGATATCTGTGGCTTACCCCAACTCTTTACACTCCTTCTTGGCTTCTTTATAAAAGGTCTCAATGATATCTGTGGCTTACCCCAACTCTTTACACTCCTTCTTGGCTTCTTTATAAAAGGTCTCAATGATATCTGTGGCTTACCCCAACTCTTTACACTCCTTCTTGGCTTCTTTATAAAAGGTCTCAATGATATCTGTGGCTTACCCCAACTCTTTACACTCCTTCTTGGCTTCTTTATAAAAGGTCTCAATGATATCTGTGGCTTACCCCAACTCTTTACACTCCTTCTTGGCTTCTTTATAAAAGGTCTCAATGATATCTGTGGCTTACCCCAACTCTTTACACTCCTTCTTGGCTTCTTTATAAAAGGTCTCAATGATATCTGTGGCTTACCCCAACTCTTTACACTCCTGCTTGGCTTCTTTATAAAAGGTCTCAATGATATCTGTGGCTTACCCCAACTCTTTACACTCCTTCTTGGCTTCTTTATAAAAGGCCTCAATGATATCTGTGGCTTACCCCAACTCTTTACACTCCTTCTTGGCTTCTTTATAAAAGGTCTCAATGATATCTGTGGCTTACCCCAACTCTTTACACTCCTGCTTGGCTTCTTTATAAAAGGTCTCAATGATATCTGTGGCTTACCCCAACTCTTTACACTCCTGCTTGGCTTCTTTATAAAAGGCCTCAATGATATCTGTGGCTTACCCCAACTCTTTACACTCCTTCTTGGCTTCTTTATAAAAGGTCTCAATGATATCTGTGGCTTACCCCAACTCTTTACACTCCTGCTTGGCTTCTTTATAAAACTTATCAATGATATCTGTGGCTTACCCCAACTCTTTACACTCCTGCTTGGCTTCTTTATAAAACTTATCAATGATATCTGTGGCTTACCCCAACTCTTTACACTCCTTCTTGGCTTCTTTATAAAAGGCCTCAATGATATCTGTGGCTTACCCCAACTCTTTACACTCCTGCTTGGCTTCTTTATAAAACTTATCAATGATATCTGTGGCTTACCCCAACTCTTTACACTCCTGCTTGGCTTCTTTATAAAACTTATCAATGATATCTGTGGCTTACCCCAACTCTTTACACTCCTTCTTGGCTTCTTTATAAAACTTATCAATGATATCTGTGGCTTACCCCAACTCTTTACACTCCTGCTTGGCTTCTTTATAAAAGGCCTCAATGATATCTGTGGCTTACCCCAACTCTTTACACTCCTGCTTGGCTTCTTTATAAAAGGTCTCAATGATATCTGTGGCTTACCCCAACTCTTTACACTCCTGCTTGGCTTCTTTATAAAAGGTCTCAATGATATCTGTGGCTTACCCCAACTCTTTACACTCCTGCTTGGCTTCTTTATAGAAGGCCTCAATGATATCTGTGGCTTACCCCAACTCTTTACACTCCTGCTTGGCTTCTTTATAAAAGGTCTCAATGATATCTGTGGCTTACCCCAACTCTTTACACTCCTTCTTGGCTTCTTTATAAAAGGCCTCAATGATATCTGTGGCTTACCCCAACTCTTTACACTCCTTCTTGGCTTCTTTATAAAAGGTCTCAATGATATCTGTGGCTTACCCCAACTCTTTACACTCCTGCTTGGCTTCTTTATAAAAGGTCTCAATGATATCTGTGGCTTACCCCAACTCTTTACACTCCTGCTTGGCTTCTTTATAAAAGGCCTCAATGATATCTGTGGCTTACCCCAACTCTTTACACTCCTGCTTGGCTTCTTTATAAAAGGTCTCAATGATATCTGTGGCTTACCCCAACTCTTTACACTCCTTCTTGGCTTCTTTATAAAAGGCCTCAATGATATCTGTGGCTTACCCCAACTCTTTACACTCCTTCTTGGCTTCTTTATAAAAGATCTCAATGATATCTGTGGCTTACCCCAACTCTTTACACTCCTTCTTGGCTTCTTTATAAAAGGTCTCAATGATATCTGTGGCTTACCCCAACTCTTTACACTCCTTCTTGGCTTCTTTATAAAAGGTCTCAATGATATCTGTGGCTTACCCCAACTCTTTACACTCCTTCTTGGCTTCTTTATAAAAGGTCTCAATGATATCTGTGGCTTACCCCAACTCTTTACACTCCTTCTTGGCTTCTTTATAAAAGGTCTCAATGATATCTGTGGCTTACCCCAACTCTTTACACTCCTTCTTGGCTTCTTTATAAAAGGCCTCAATGATATCTGTGGCTTACCCCAACTCTTTACACTCCTTCTTGGCTTCTTTATAAAAGATCTCAATGATATCTGTGGTTGTGTCCTCCAGCCTCCCACAGCCCACATTGGTGGCGCCATCAGTACAGATGATGATCTTTGACCCCTTGACGTCACCACCCATGCCAGTGGCCAGCATCAGGGCAGGTCCCATGGCTGTACGGCCCTGCTCCTTCAGCCTGGAGATATGGAGCAGCTCATTCAATGGCGCTTCAGCGTTTACAGATTGTACTTTCTTATTTTAGGACAATCAAACATGGGCTAAGATAATCAAACATGTGCTAAGACAATCAAACATGGACTAAGACAATCAAACATGTGCTAAGACAATCAAACATGGACTAAGACAATCAAACATGGACTAAGACAATCAAACATGGACTAAGACAATCAAACATGGACTAAGACAATCAAACATGGACTAAGACAATCAAACATGGACTAAGACAATCAAACATGGACTAAGACAATCAAACATGGACTAAGACAATCAAACATGGACTAAGACAATCAAACATGGACTAAGACAATCAAACATGGACTAAGACAATCAAACATGGACTAAGACAATCAAACATGGGCTAAGACAATCAAACATGGGCTAAGACAATCAAACATGGGCTAAGACAATCAAACATGGGCTAAGACAATCAAACATGGACTAAGACAATCAAACATGGGCTAAGACAATCAAACATGGACTAAGACAATCAAACATGGGCTAAGACAATCAAACATGGGCTAAGACAATCAAACATGGACTAAGACAATCAAACATGGACTAAGACAATCAAACATGGGCTAAGACAATCAAACATGGACTAAGACAATCAAACATGGACTAAGACAATCAAACATGGACTAAGACAATCAAACATGGACTAAGACAATCAAACATGTGCTAAGACAATCAAACATGTGCTAAGACAATCAAACATGGACTAAGACAATCAAACATGGACTAAGACAATCAAACATGTGCTAAGACAATCAAACATGGACTAAGACAATCAAACATGGACTAAGACAATCAAACATGGACTAAGACAATCAAACATGTGCTAAGACAATCAAACATGGACTAAGACAATCAAACATGGACTAAGACAATCAAACATGGACTAAGACAATCAAACATGGACTAAGACAATCAAACATGGACTAAGACAATCAAACATGGACTAAGACAATCAAACATGGGCTAAGACAATCAAACATGGACTAAGACAATCAAACATGGACTAAGACAATCAAACATGGACTAAGACAATCAAACATGGACTAAGACAATCAAACATGGACTAAGACAATCAAACATGGACTAAGACAATCAAACACCCTGACTCACTCTAGAACAATTTTCACAAGGTCATCAGCAGATTCTGAAATAGATTTAAGGCTCCTGAACTCTTCTCCCTTGGTTTGCAGTTCTTTGCCATTTTCCAGTTCTGCTCCGGAAAATTCTTTTAACTTTGATGGTCCACTCCCATCAGAGTAAATTGTCACCTGCAATTATAATTAGCATTCAATGTCTCAAAGTGGACAATACAATTTTAGCCATACATTAGATCACACTGTTGTAAAAAATTAATTTAATTCAATTTATTTTTGTAAAAATAAACTGTAAGTTACATTTTCTTACCTTTACAATTACATAACAGGATTAACAAAAAATGTAAACTTTTGATACCAAGAATCATTTTACAGCTAGAAAAACTCTCCCAGACTTACTTTGTCATTGAATGTCACCAGACCAACTTGCCATTTTGGCTTTTCTGTTTTCAGTTTTTCAATTTGTTTAATGACAGCAATTTTGACAGCCTGGAGCCAAGTTATTTCTACAGTCTCAATGTGATCTTCAAATGGCTTTTCTTGATTCAAAACTTTGAGCAGAATTTTGTCTTTGGTATTCTTGGCCTTATGGAGAGAGCAATGAGATTTTATATGAAAAAGCATATTTAAAAAAATTTAAAATAGCTTTGCCAGAGTGTTCTAAGATTACACAAGGCCAACAATCCACTGGATCACTGATGGCCAAACCTGATTTAAAGCTGGTGACAAGAGAACCTGATAGTTTGTGCACAGATAAATGAAATACAATTTCTCCACTACAAATGTATTGAAGGTGGTGTGGTATTTGAGTGATGCTGTTGTATTGAGTGATGGTGTTGTATTTGAGTTAGAAATCATCTTTCGGTGTAGCTTCTCAGATTTTAATTTCTTTTATGAAGGTAAAGGACAATTTCCTGAAAACAATTGTCTACCTGCTAACAAAAATCCAACTATGCATTAGCTGTAGAGTTGAATGAAACGCTTATGGCATTATTATTGAAAGAATCTAAAGAGGCTATCAACCTTGGTGACAGATGGAGTGCTTAGGATTACCTTCATCCTTTGACTCATGCTGGCTGAAATGTCCACTAGCAGAATGACCTTGATGACCTCTGCCTCTCTGGTCAGGTCTGGAATTTTCTCTGGTCCCTCCACATAAAGGATATCATTGCCCTTGATCACCTGCTGCTGTGTCACTTCATTCTTTGTCTTGCCACAGAATTTACATTCCCAGAAAAACTGGGGACAAAAAGAATTTACATTCCCAGAAAAACTGGGGACAAAAAGAATTTACATTCCCAGAAAAACTGGGGACAAAAAGAATTTACATTCCCAGAAAAACTGGGGACAAAAAGAATTTACATTCCCAGAAAAACTGGGGACAAAAAGAATTTACATTCCCAGAAAAACTGGGGACAAAAAGAATTTACATTCCCAGAAAAACTGGGGACAAAAAGAATTTACATTCCCAGAAAAACTGGGGACAAAAAGAATTTACATTCCCAGAAAAATTTGAGATTAAACAGAATTTACATTCCTAGAATAACTACTGTACATGCAATATTATTTAAGGATTATCCCTGTTCACTACTGTATATAAGATATTATTTAAGGATTATCCCTGTTTATTACTGTATATAAGATATTATTTAAGGATTATCCCTGTTTATTACTGTATATAAGATATTATCTTGAAATGATTTTTATAAAGTGGCCATGATCAGATTGTGGAGACGTGCAATTATTTAAAAACATTTGAAAATCTGTGTTGCCCTGAGCTGGGTTTAGCTGACTGATAGATGAAACTAAAAATCTAAAAATATGGAAAAAAATTTGAGAAAATTCGGAGATTAGCATGACTTACAATTTTATTTTCATCCTTCCTCTCATCAATGTGTGAGACAAGGGCTTCACACTCTTTGTTTTTGCAGTAGACCAAATCTGTGTTGACAACGTGAGCGTCTGCTGGCTCCAGCAACTTGGCCATCTTGATGTTAATCTTGTTGACGTTAATTTTACCATCTTTTGGCTGAAATTTTTTAAATGTATACATTTGAGTTGGCAAATATTGTTTCTTTTCTAGCTTGGCATCATGGTTACATTTTTTCAATCAAATATATTCTGGTAAACAGCTTAGAAAAAAGAAACCTTACATCAGCTTCATCTTCTTCTACTGGTTCATCTTCAAATTCCATGATTTCACATTCAAAGCCAGAAGTTTCATCATTGTGGACTTCCTGTGTGTCCATGGCTAGAGGAATATGTGCATATATATGGTCATGTGTGGGTTATAGATTGTTGTGTGGGTGTCTGTTGTAGATTGTTTGGTTAAGTGATGTCTCCTTCAGATTAATCACGGACACAATCTAATTACAGATGGAAACACATCACAGGGTACAAGCAAACAGAAACACATCACATGGTACAAGCAAACAGAAACACATCACAGGGTACAAGCAAACAGAAACACACCACATGGTACAAGCAAACAAACACATCACATGGTACAAGCAAACAGAAACACATCACAGGCTACAAGCAAACAGAAACACACCAGGGACTGCAACAATACAAACATACCACAGGGACTGTATCACACCTTTGCTTATCACGTATCTAACTGCTGAATTACGTACATGATTCACTTATCTTTTAAAGGCAGTACTTAGAAAATATTTGCTGATAACTACAATATATTTTTTATTTAAAAAACAGCTCAGAAGGGTTGAGTGGCACAACTGGGTACATTATTGTTACAAATACAAAATTAACTCTAGCTTAGCTTGTACTGGGCTGAGAATAACTGAGTTACTGCTTTCACCCCAATGGGGGGGGGGGGGGGTGTTGTGATGTTATATGCAGACTTTTATCATGATTTGTAATGGGTTCACGTCAGTGGCATGACATGTACAAATGGGTTAAAGTAGAATGACATCATGCATGGATGGTTTAATTTAAGGTAGAGAGATGACAAGAACAAAAATCAGATTTCTAACCAGCGAAGAACATGCGTGTATCATCATCAGAGTCCTCATCCTCTGTAGAATCCTCTTCTTCCTCCACAAGAATGTAGGCGGCTCCAAACTCCATACCAGCAGGCTCTAATTTTGGTTATCAACAGTCTGAAAATTGAAAGATAAAGGATATTAAATGTGCCATTACATTTTAAACATTTTGAAAGTTGGTCATATTTTACAGGCTGGAAATGAAATCCTTCTTGTTGCAGAACCAACTGACTGTAACGAGCTGTGTGAGGCCGTTGATGGCCACTGGGTAGAAATGTTGTCACTTGACAAGACAATACCTGGGTCAAACAATTTATTCTTGACATTCATCTCAGGTTTTATTCAGGCAAAGAAAATTCCTTTAAAATCTGGCCAGTAACTCCAAATGAAAATCAACTCTAAAACCTTAGGCCACATTTACTCTAGCTACTAGTATTACTACCCATATGTCTAGAAGAAAAAACTTCATCCATAAGTTCATTTTATCAGAGCATGTATAGGGGGGGGGGGGGGGGGGGGTACTCAGTTATTGGAAAGCTTTTTTTCTAAGCTTGTATAGTATACATGTTGCTAGTGTAAATACGGTGTTGAGTTTGGTCTTTAAAAAAATCTCCCCTCCCCCTAATTATCACAAAACATGTTTCAGACCACCTTCACATTTTGCCCAAGTGATCTCACTTACATAAGGGGATATAACCAGGCTATGTTGATTTTGAGGAAAATATTAAATGAGTTTATTCCCTTCACACAGAAAATTTGCAAATAATTTATAATTAACTAGGCCTATCTATTGACAACTGTTCGACATGTAACTGTAAATTTTATTTTAATAGTAATAGTCGAAAACATCGCTAAAAACTTATGAGTGGTGAAAATTAAGCAAATCAGGTGTAGATCTAAAAATTTATTTTCTAAATGCCTTTTTAAAATGCATGGGTATGACGGCTTGGGATTACTTAGTTCTAGAAATCTTATTTCTGTTGCTGCCTCAAGATTGTTAACATCTTCAGCTGACTGATGACTACTTAGATCTGTATTATTCTATTACCTCCCCTTTTGTTATTGAGTACTGGTTGGGGGGGGGGGGGGGGTTATAACCCCTCCCATGGACCCATATATATATATATGTGTGTGTGTATATATATATATATAGGATTATATACGGATGGAAACCCATGACCAATTCCACTGCTACAAATGTTTTCTTATTACAATCTATATGGCTAATATAATATCCAATTAGATTGAAAATTGGATTTTCTAACGTTGTTGATTTTAAACAAATAGATGCAATCGACATTGGATCAGAACTGATCTGCAGGGTTTAACCACAGGACCCAGTTATGACTTAAAAGGCACACAGTATCACCTAGTCTAGATCTAGGAAAAAGTCCCCAGGCCATTATTATTTTATTGGAAATTTAAAAAAAAAAAAACCAGACCTTTGCAGCTAACATTTCAATTATAATTACTTGTTTAGTAATAAGAAATTACTTAACATTGCACAAATGAAATTAAACAATTCAATTTTTATTTTAAAACAAAATAAGGGCAATAAATATAGATTCTAGACTAGATATAACTAGGACTAGGCTCTATTATAGTGATAAATAAATTTAAACTAAAATTTCAAAATGCAGCGACAGCAGGCCAGTCTACTCAATAGACCAATGGGTTAAAATCTACATTACAATTAACTTGAATTAACTATTAGGGATTAGGCCTAAGGGGTCACACTCGTAGGGGGGTCCGTAATTTTGTGACGATGTGTGATGGGGGGGGGGGGGGTTAAGATGTTGCGACGTCACACTTTTGCATTATAAAAAAGCAATGTTAGAAAACGAATTTTAGATGTTATTTCGCGTTTAAGATTCTGTTTTAATAAATTGTAATAGTTTAGACAAGATTTTAGAAAAATATCAATGTTTTAAAAAACTTCAACTGCAATTTTGAGGGGGTTTGTAGGTTGAGGTGTGACGTCATTTTAGGGGGGGGGTCTGGCTTTTTGTGATGGAGGGGAGGAGGGAGGTAAAAATCGTCGTAAAAATCATCAAAAAAAGCGTGACGTCATTTATGAATGACCCCTAACTAGTATTGAAACTAATAATATCACTTATTAAGTGTAATATACACTATGTACTAGTTTATAATATTATACTAAACAATACTCACTAGATCTAGGCCTATACTATAATACACTATAGTGTGACTATAGAGGGCACTATTATATATAGTATATAGGCCTATACTAAATTACTATAATATCATATAGGTATACTAATCTATAGTTAAGTAAGTATAGTATAGTAGTTAAGTAGTTAGTAGCCTATATTAAACATCTATTATTTATTATCTATTTTTATTTTTATACACTATCCTATATACTATATATTATATATATATATATATATAGCATAGATCTACTATAACTAACTATATTACTATAATAATAATACAATAGTCATAGTCTCTACTACTAGTCTATACTAAAACATGAACTCACTCAGAATAAAGGAATGTGATTTTTTAAAATTTAGATCTAGATCTATGATACAGTACTAGATCTAGAGCTGGTCTCGTCCTAGTGGGTATTTGCTGCCAATATTATTATTTAGATCTATAAAAGAACATGACTTCCCAGAGAAAAAAACAAGTGAAATTCCCGACACTGTAATCTAAGGAAAATCCGATTTATTACGTGGTTGTTTCCTAACCTAATTTTAAAATTTTGTATTCTGTTAAATCGTCTTATATTATTATATAATATATAGATCTAGATCTAGTTTAAGGGGTCGCCCTTAAATGACGTCACACTCGTAGGAGAGGGGGGGGGGGGGGGTCCGTAATTTTGTGACGAGTTTTAGCCGTTATTTCGCGTTTTAGAAATTGGTTTTAATACATTGTAATAGGAATTGATCGAAGTACTCTATGTTGACAGTTCTGACAAAATTTTAGACAAATATCGACGTTTTAAGAAAAATTCAACAGCAATTTGAGGGAGGTTGTAGGCTGAGGAATGACGTCATTTTAGGCGGGGGGGGGGGGGGGGGGGGCTCTAAATTTTTGTGACGATGTGTGACGAAGGGGAGGAGGGAGGTAAAAATCGTCAAAAAAAGCGTGACGTTATTTATGGATGACCCCTTAATACGTTATATATTAATTTAATATAGATCTATATCCTAGACTATTTTTAAGTCTATGTACCTATCCGATGTATACCGTTGTAGACTTTTTGCAGGTACCTACGGCCTACGCCACGAGGCCCTACTACGCGGCAATAATAATACTCCTAAGTATTTAGTTTAGTCTACATTATTTTTAGACCGTAATTTTTATAATTTATTACTAATACTAAATAGTATTAGATCGTGCTTTAATTATTTTTAGATTTTACATAAGCCTTGGCTAAAATAAATTTATAGTTATAAATAAACTATAGGACTAGATCTAGCTAGTATTATATAATAAGTAAGTAGGCCTAATATAAGTAATAAGTAAGTACTAAGTAGGGACCTATAAAAATAGAACTATATTCGCGAGTTTTTTGTAATATGAATTCCCGAGATTCTTGCTTAACCAAAGATCAGAGTAATATACATGGTAATAGAGTTTTAAGCAATTAAATTATATTATATAATAACTAATAAGTATCTTACCAATCCCTAGACTTAGACTAATGAGCTATGTATGTAGCAGTAGGTTACTCCTTTTAACATTCAACGGGTTTTCCCAAACAAATAGTTTGGAAATCCCCATGCCTAGACTGTCCAGCGCAATTTTTTAGCGCAATTTCCATACTGGCAATTGCGATTATTAACTCGTATATGGATGGATGTGTGTCCGCGCTTTAAGTCGTATCTCCTCCTCAACGAAGCAATATCGAGGACTACATCCAAAAGCAAATATGTTAAGCAAGTTCCGAGGATGATTGCGGGCCAAAAAAATTCCCGGAATTCCTTCCTGGGGGGGGGGGGGGGGGGGGAATTGTAGGTACAGGTGTGACGTCATTCTATGTGGGTCTGGCTTTTTGTAATGATGTATGACAGAGAGGAGGAGTTAAAAGTCGTCAAACAACGTCCCATTCCAAAACAAACACGATTAAAATTGATTAACGAATATGAACGAATTTATAAGGTTCTTTCATAATTGCGCCTCATTCGGAGATGGAGCGGGAGGGAGGAGGGTTTGTGACTATGTATGAAATAGGGGGAAAAGATGAGATTCTTAAAGTGTGACTTAAAAGTCACTTATTAATCTGACATATCCTAGTTATTTTAATTTTTAGAAGACGCTAACTTAAATATTAATGCTGGCACGGCTTAATGACTATTTTAGAAAGGAATCTCTGTTTCTAGATATATTTTAAATCGCAGTGTGAAAAAGAGAGAGTATTGGCTGGTCTGACGTCATTTCATGGAGTCCTGCTTTTTTGTGACAATATCCGAAATGTTAACGATATGTGCACAAAAAGCGTGACTCGGTTATGTATGGGGTCATCCATAAATGACGTCACGCTTTTTTGACGATTTTTACCCCCTCCCCTCCGTCACACGTCGTCACAAAAAGCCAGACCCCCCCCCTAAAATGACGTCACACCTCAACCTACAACCCCCCCCCCCTCAAAATTGCAGTTGATTATTTTTTTTTAAACATCGATATTTTTCCAAAATCTTGTCTAAACTATTATAATTTATTAAAACAGTTATTTAAAACGCGAAATAACGTCTAAAATTCGTTTTCTAACATTGCTTTTTTATAATCCAAAAATGTGACGTCGCAACATCTGACCCCCCCCCCCCCCCTCATCACACATCGTCACAAAATTACGAACCCCCCTCCCCCTACGAGTGTGACGTCGTTTATGGATGACCCCTATGACTTCGGAGATTCAAGGACCCTTGAAAGCCTTGCGGCACGCACTACTGCCAGAGTTAACAATTTCCTCACCAGACAATATGCGATGAAATAGTTTGTTTGGGTGTCTCCTTTCTCAAGAAATTTTATTCATTTTATTAAAAGAGAAAATTGCTGAAATAGACTTTAATTAACAAAGTAATAATTTAGAATGTTTAATCTTTTTTCCAGTGTACATGCTGGCATACTAAATAGTAAAATACCCATTCAGAATATTCAGATCTAGCTCTCCCGTTAAAAAAAACAAATAGGGTCTAGACTAGATCTAGATCTAAGCATATCCAGATACAACAATAAAATGGCGTCTGAAGTAAAGGTAATGAAATGTGTTGTGCTTGTATTTATTTTGTGTTGTGATGTCAGATCTGGACAGGATCGAAGGACTTGAAACACAACGTATTCAGACGATCCCATTTAAATTATAACAGGACGGCATTGTTCATTATTTAATCTTTAATGGCCAATGTAACAATAGACACGACTACATCGACGACAACACAACACGTCAACAGACATGGGCGCATACCTTAAAATAAAATAATAATATAAATTAATTAGGCCTAATACTTAGATCTATTACTTTACTAAACTTTACTTCATTACTTCTGATTACTTCAACTTCCACGGTAAAAGTCCATTTTATTCACCGCTTCACGTTCACCTCCAGTTGAGCGTATTTACTATTTAATTAAGAAATTAAGTTAACCGGAACACTCAAAAGCGTTAGGAAAACATTGGGCTTATTTTAGATTTTCTTACTAAATCTAAAACGAAGTTCAGACCTGGAGCTCCGAGTTCGAACCCGGGGTTAGCACGACCAGTACTAGTGTCTTTTTTTACATTTTATTTTTTCATTTTGAAAATATGACGTGTGATTCTTTTTTTTAAATAAAATTTCCAAACATTGTCACTGGCGTGATTGCCTTACGTTAATATCCCATGAGTGGAAGATCCCACCACGGCCCACTGTCGGCGAGGTCACTGTGTGTTCAGCAGGCCTAAAGCATACGTCAGTCTGTGTCTTCACTTCTCTCTTCCTCCCCCCTCCCTCTCAAGCAAATTGAAATTTCTTTTTAAGGTTACATAGGATAAATAATATAGACTTAGATCTACTATTTCGCATGCTAGAAAGCTGAAAAACAATTTACTAAAGGAAATTTGATTTAGCTAGATTGCTGCTAGATCTAAGACTACCATCTGACTGACACTGTACAATTTTTTTTTACAAGTACTAGATATTTAGACTAGATCTAGATTCTTAGGTGTTGAAATAATATAATACACTTAAACTAGATCTAGATCTGTCAACATTAAATTGCTACCATGAAAAAAAAAATTAGGCAGTCCTGATATCTGTTATTTTTTTATTGCATGCCACCTAGGGTAAAGATTTAGCATAACGCGGAGCAAACCGTGCAAATGCGCCCAATCTAAAGTTTACCCAATTTTCAATTTAAACATGACTATTGAATGATATTTAATCCATTAGGCACTAATTTTGAAGTTTTTAGTTTGTTTTAAACTAAATTACTTAATTTAATATTTATTGTCACTCACTGCCATGCACGACACACCTCTCCATGACAACCACTCTTACGTTTGAAGCTAAAGAAAACCACAAAACCGGTTAGACTTTTTAAGTGGCCATGCACCCAGAGTTCCTCACTAGTATAAACTTGAAAAAAATTTGTTTGGTACAGCACCAAGACCTATTTGAAAATGTCTTTATTTACAAGTTACCTAAAACTGTCAGTTTTTCTTGTGATTACAGAGTGGCCCATCAACATCTGGAACCAACATGGCATCCAGCAAATCAGATAAGTTGAAACGCTTGCGGGACCTGGAGTTGAAAATGGTAAAAGTTTTGATAGATCTGTTGTTGAGTGGATCAGATATGTCTTGTAACTTTATAGCTTGTCACCTCCACATCTGTGGGTGGGCATAATACTTTTATGGCTTAAGGTGATTCCACTGCCATTCTTCCATCCTTTTCAGCTGAAGGCTATTATTTCTCTTTTATGGTCAGTATTAGCAGTTTTAATAACAATAAGCCTTTATCAAGAGAAATTACAATAAAAAAATGTTCCTGGGAATAAATAAATAACTTTTCTATCATTCTAGTGTTCAAAAAAACTAATGGGTTAGTAAAATGTTTGAAGCATAATTACATTACTTTAGTTGTTCTACTGTTAGTTTCAACCTAAAAATTTGGACTGAGACATATTTGTTGCAAAGCTTGCAGGATTATTAGTTTTGTGAACATTTTGTTTTTCAGAATGAGGCCAGAAAAATGAACCACGCAGAGGTTGTTGCTGAAGATGAAAGGAAAAAAAGACCCCAGAATTTTGAAGCTAAACGTAAGCGCCTGGAGTGGGAACAAGAGCAAGCTGAGAAGAAAAAGGTCAAACCACATTTTATATCGTAAACCCACTCATCTCAAGGTCAAACCACATTTTATATCGTAAACCCACTCATCTCAAGGTCAAACCACACTTTATATCATAAACCCACTCATCTACATCTCTCTTACTTTTTATTTCACAACAACCAGTCCTATCTGAAGAAAAAAATTGTTAGGATAACTTTTTATTTCACAACAACCAATCCTATCTGAAGAAAAAAATTGTTAGGATAACTTTTTATTTCACAACAACCAGTCCTATCTGAAGAAAAAAAAAATGTTAGGTTAATGTGGTCTTCATATCAGTCTGTTGGTGATCATTAATTTATAAAGCTACAAAACTAGCATAGCCTGTCTGGGATCTCTTGTCTGACCTGTCCTCTTGTCTGACCTGTCCTCTTGTCTGACCTGTCCTCTGACCTGTCCCCTGACCTGTCCTCTTGTCTGACCTGTCCTCTTGTCTGACCTGTCCTCTTGTCTGACCTGTCCTCTGACCTGTCCCCTGACCTGTCCTCTTGTCTGACCTGTCCTCTTGTCTGACCTGTCCTCTTGTCTGACCTGTCCTCTTGTCTGACCTGTCCTCTTGTCTGACCTGTCCTCTTGTCTGACCTGTCCTCTTGTCTGACCTGTCCCCTGACCTGTCCTCTTGTCTGACCTGTCCTCTTGTCTGACCTGTCCTCTTGTCTGACCTGTCCTCTTGTCTGACCTGTCCTCTGACCTGTCCTCTGACCTGTCCTCTTGTCTGACCTGTCCTCTTGTCTGACCTGTCCTCTTGTCTGACCTGTCCTCTTGTCTGACCTGTCCTCTTGTCTGACCTGTCCTCTTGTCTGACCTGTCCTCTTGTCTGACCTGTCCTCTTGTCTGACCTGTCCTCTTGCCTGACCTGTCCTCTTGCCTGACCTGTCCTCTTGTCTGACCTGTCCTCTTGTCTGACCTGTCCTCTTGTCTGACCTGTCCTCTTGTCTGACCTGTCCTCTTGTCTGACCTGTCCTCTTGTCTGACCTGTCCTCTTGTCTGACCTGTCCTCTTGTCTGACCTGTCCTCTTGCCTGACCTGTCCTCTTGTCTGACCTGTCCTCTTGTCTGACCTGTCCTCTTGTCTGACCTGTCCTCTGACCTGTCCTCTTGTCTGACCTGTCCTCTTGTCTGACCTGTCCTCTTGTCTGACCTGTCCTCTTGTCTGACCTGTCCTCTTGTCTGACCTGTCCTCTTGTCTGACCTGTCCTCTTGTCTGACCTGTCCTCTTGTCTGACCTGTCCTCTTGCCTGACCTGTCCTCTTGTCTGACCTGTCCTCTTGTCTGACCTGTCCTCTTGTCTGACCTGTCCTCTTGTCTGACCTGTCCTCTTGTCTGACCTGTCCCCTGACCTGTCCTCTTGTCTGACCTGTCCTCTTGCCTGACCTGTCCTCTTGTCTGACCTGTCCTCTTGTCTGACCTGTCCTCTTGTCTGACCTGTCCTCTTGCCTGACCTGTCCTCTTGTCTGACCTGTCCTCTTGCCTGACCTGTCCTCTTGCCTGACCTGTCCTCTTGTCTGACCTGTCCTCTTGTCTGACCTGTCCTCTTGTCTGACCTGTCCTCTTGCCTGACCTGTCCTCTTGCCTGACCTGTCCTCTTGTCTGACCTGTCCTCTTGTCTGACCTGTCCTCTTGCCTGACCTGTCCTCTTGCCTGACCTGTCCTCTTGTCTGACCTGTCCTCTTGTCTGACCTGTCCTCTTGTCTGACCTGTCCTCTTGTCTGACCTGTCCTCTTGTCTGACCTGTCCTCTTGTCTGACCTGTCCTCTTGCCTGACCTGTCCTCTTGTCTGACCTGTCCTCTTGTCTGACCTGTCCTCTTGCCTGACCTGTCCTCTTGTCTGACCTGTCCTCTTGTCTGACCTGTCCTCTGACCTGTCCTCTTGTCTGACCTGTCCTCTTGTCTGACCTGTCCTCTTGTCTGACCTGTCCTCTGACCTGTCCTCTTGTCTGACCTGTCCTCTTGTCTGACCTGTCCTCTTGTCTGACCTGTCCTCTGACCTGTCCTCTTGTCTGACCTGTCCTCTTGTCTGACCTGTCCTCTTGTCTGACCTGTCCTCTGACCTGTCCTCTTGTCTGACCTGTCCTCTTGTCTGACCTGTCCTCTTGTCTGACCTGTCCTCTTGTCTGACCTGTCCTCTTGTCTGACCTGTCCTTGACCTGTCCCCAGGAGTGTGTGGCTAAGGGAGAGAACTATGACAGGGTCAAGCTGCTTGAGGTGGGAGCTGATGAAGCTGAGAGGTGGGAGAGGAAAAAGAAGAAGAAAAACCCAGACACTGGCTTTGCTGGTAGGTGACGCTATGTGGGGGCTAGAGAGGTGGGACACAGTGTGTGAGACTGTGTGGGGTACAGAGGTGTGTCATGTGGGGGCTAGAGAGGTGTGGGCTGCAGTGTGTGAGACTGTGTGGGGTACAGAGGTGTGTCTGTGTGTGGGGTACAGAGGTGTGTCTGTGTGTGGGGTACAGAGGTGTGTTTATGTGTGGGGTACAGAGGTGTGGGGCAGAGTGTGAGACCGGAAGCTACAGACAAGTGACCGTGACCACAGACTCTACAGACCACTAAAAGAGTTGACCACAGACTCTACAGACCACTAAAAGAGTTGACCACAGACTCTACAGACCACTAAAAGAGTTGACCACAGACTCTACAGACCACTAAAAGAGTTGACCACAGACTCTACAGACCACTAAAAAGTTGACCACAGACATCCTGGGCTGGTGTCTGTATACATGTTCTAACAAATGTTAGTTTTGTCCAGACTATGAGCAGGCAACATTCCGCCAGTACCAGAGGCTGACCAAACAGATTCAACAAGATCCCAAAAACTATGAGAAGGAGAGAGAACAGCTGTGAGTTTTTCTGACACCTTCATATGTAACTCGTTCATTCCACTCCATTTGCTTTGTTCTACTAACATTGGAATTTCTGATGCTGAATTTTATGGATAAACTTTCCTGTGTAAATCTATGAAAATAATTTTATTGAAATCATATAGTTTAGGTTAAATTGTTGATTTTAAAGAGGAAGTATTAGATCAAAATAGATATTTTTAAATATGTTAGTGAAGAACCATCAGAATAGAAAACTTCTTATAATAGAGATGAGATAAATGTATGAGTATGACAGAATTTTTTCTTACAGAGGTGATGACTTTTATGCATCAGCTGATACATTAGGCCTTCATCAGCGCAAAGATTCTGAGGATGCCATAGACAGGATGGTCACAGACTTAGAGAAACAGTAAGTGAAACTTTGGTTGGACGGGCAAATACACTTACACTAGTCTTATCATGGTCACAGACTTAGAGAAACAGTAAGTGAAACTTTGGTTGGACTGGCAAATACACTTACACTAGTCTTATCATGGTCACAGACTTAGAGAAACAGTAAGTGAAACTTTGGTTGGACTGGCAAATACACTTACACTAGTCTTATCATGGTCACAGACTTAGAGAAACAGTAAGTGAAACTTTGGTTGGACTGGCAAATACACTTACACTAGTCTTATCATGGTCACAGGCTTAGAGAAACAGTAAGTGAAACTTTGGTTGGACTGGCAAATACACTTACACTAGTCTTATCATGGTCACAGACTTAGAGAAACAGTAAGTGAAACTTTGGTTGGACTGGCAAATACACTTACACTAGTCTTATCATGGTCACAGACTTAGAGAAACAGTAAGTGAAACTTTGGTTGGACTGGCAAATACACTTACACTAGTCTTTTCATTGCTTGTATATTATTGCAATGTTGTTATTGCAGGATTGACAAAAGATCTAAATACAGCCGTCGTAGGACATTTGATGAAGAAGCTGATATTGATTACATTAATGAGCGCAACATGAAGTTCAACCAGAAACTAGAGAGGTTCTATGGAAAATACACAGCTGAAATCAAGCAGAACTTGGAGAGAGGAACAGCTGTTTAGTATTGTTGTAGGGACAGCTGTTTTGTAAAGAACTGTCTTGTATGAGATTCTAATGTATTTATCTGGAACATAGGAATGGAATCTAAAATGTAGATTCTATTTTTCTACCCTAATTATCGTCAAGCTACAGGCATGTGTTTGGGGTCATTAACCCTTTACAGTGGCCAGAGAATTTTGTGTGGTGCAGTCTGGCGCATCTGCCCGAACTATTCATAGTACATTTATTAACGTAGTATTTCTTGTATATAATTTCTTGGTAACAAGAAATTAAAGATACCTGCTGAAAATAAGTTTGTTTTCTTGTTACTCCATAGCTAGTGCAATTTTTTAAAGCTCAGATTTTTTTTTTAAATTACAGGCAATATAATTAGTGAAATTGAAATTTATAAGGTAACTAAATACAGTGATATTTAAAAAGAAAATAGCTCCAATGCCAATGTTGAATTATTTTTAGCATTTAAATTTTTTTTTTTGTATAAAATTATACAAGAATTACGGTTTTAAGTTTGTTTTTTTTAGATTAAAGTAATATTTTACCTAATACATAATAATTTCAGAATATTTTGTGTTAGATGCTTTTTATTTCTAAACATTAGTGGTCATTTCTAAATATCTTTTCTCATAGCCGTCGGGTAAGTAAACTACTTTTGATGTCCTGGGCGGGAGATTGTTAAATCACATCCATTGTACGTTACTCTTGAATTCTTATCTTATTATATAAGGGGATAATTTCACTGTTTGGCTGTTTTGATTTTTAAAATTATACATTGTGTTACATTAGTAACAATTTCTACTCTGTAGATTACAGAATTTGGTTTTTCACCTTGTAAAATACCATACAAATTCACTGTCAGTTATGGTTGGTCCCTGTCAAATCAGGGGAGTTAATTTTTTGTTTACCCATAAGGGAGTGAATGACAATTATTTTTAATAAATCAGGGGAGTGAACGGCAATTTGGTTGATAAATGAGATATAAAACTAGAGTACCTGCTGTCATGTAGGGCAAGGAGTGTGAAGAGCTCCAGTGTATTTTATCTGTAAATATGTCACTTGTAAAATATATTTTTCCACTGGGTGCTGCATTGTGATGGCATGGTTTGAAACCAATGATTGTCTAATACCAATAAAGTAAATCACTCAAAATTTGATATTTTTTAATTCATATTTTGATGAATACTCAGTGCAGCCATTTTAAAAACACAATTTATATCTATAACATGAAAATACTTGGACAATTGTATAATGTTATTATAATGGTAGAATTTGAATCCCAAAATCACATTACTACAGCTCATTGTAATAACATTTTCAGATTAAAAAAAAAATGTATAAATAATAAAATTAAAAATTTTTTATGGCACATTCTGTCTGTCAGTTCTGCATTAACCTTTCAGAAAATTTGATTTTTTTTCACCAGTTCAATGACTCATGGAATAGCTGTGGAACAAATAGGATTCACCTCACAAGAGAAATAATTATAGTGAATTAGTGAGCCCCAGTTAACTTTTCCTAGTCACATGACATCATTAACTTTAACCCCAGAGATTGAAACTTCATTAACAATTTCTAATTGACATTAACTAGATCTGGGGATACAGTGAATTCTGACTTTGAATTAAAAATGTGTTAAATTTTATTACAAGCATTTAAAGAGCTCACAATGAGCAGCACACTTCAGGATAATCATATCCCTAAAACATCACATCCCTAAAACATCACATCTCTAGATCAGCACATCCTAAAACATCACTGTGAGAAGATATTCTTCCCCTCCCCCCCCCTCTAATGTTATGTTGGTTGTTGTTTTTGCCAGCCCCACCTGAGCCAGTATGAGAAGAATGCACCAGTCCATCTAGAGGTGAGCTAAACACTCCCAGGCTGCCCATACAAATACCTTCATCTCCTTGGTATAATAAATTTACATCAACTTAGACCAAACTTTTCAATGTACAACTTATCAACTTCCAACATATTTACACCAAGATAGACCGATAAAAAAATGTACATCAATCTTAAACATAAAAAAATTATTTCTACTCCCAGTTGACAGTATAAATGAACAATTTCTCTATTAAAAATGTATCAATTTAATTTTAAATGTAAATAAAACTAAAAATATTTTACTGTTGTATCTAAAGCAATACAGAAAATTAATGATCGTACATTATTTCAATTTGGTTCCTAAAACATTTAATTTTTATTTACACCTTTCCACACCATAATTAACTTTTACATATCCAGAAAAAGTTAACAATCAGATGTTGATCTCACCATCCCAACCAATCTAATGATCTGACCATCCCAACCAATCTAATGTCGATCTGACCATGCCAACCAATCTAATGTCGATCTGACCATCCCAACCAATCTAATGTCGATCTGACCATCCAACCAATCAAATCTTGATCTGACCATACCAACCCAGAGAGCTCAACTTAGCTCCTGTTGGTAAAAAGATGACGTATGGCTAGCACTTCAGCAGATGACATGGGTTTGGCATCCGTGGAGTGTTTGATCAGCACGGGTTTGCTGCCCTCCGCCCCCTGGCGTCTGCCCTCTGTCGTCTGCTCCCTGCACAGTGTAGGGCTAGATGCCCTGGCCTGGGAATCATTCTCTGCCAGCTCTGGCTCTGCTGCAGCAATGTTGGGCACAACCTGGTCGCTCTCACAAGCCATCATGCCTTTCCTGGCAAATACATTCAATTGGTTCAATTTGACATCAAGCAATGCCCCGCCTGTACAAACTATGGGCTCTCACTTACCATTTACCAATGCTAGTTTCCAAAGCATCAACCACTTGACCAGCGGTCATTCTTGTTTGTGGATCTAGGGTCAGCAGCTGGTGGATCAACTGCTTGGTGTCTTCACTTACTCTGCCATCACTGCAAACAATCACTTGCATGTTTTATTTACAGTGGACACAATCTTAGAATGGCTCCTTAATTCAGCTAGGGTTCTGATCACGAGAGACTTACTTTGGGATAGTGAACTCAGCACATTTGATTTTCCTAAAGAGTTCCTGTGGCATGCAGTCATAGAAAGGGAACTGGCCATAGAGCATGGTGAACAAGACTACACCCAGAGCCCACATGTCACTTGGCTTGCCATAGTAGGGTTTCCCTGGTGGGTGGAGGCAAGGCTTTATCAACACACAGCTGGACACATGACTTTATCAACACACAGCTGGACACATGACTTTATCAACACACAGCTGGACACATGACTTTATCAACACACAGCTGGACACATGACTTTATCAACACACAGCTGGACACATGACTTTATCAACACACAGCTGGACACATGACTTTATCAACACACAGCTGGACACATGGCTTTATCAACACACAGCTGGACACATGACTTTATCAACACACAGCTGGACACATGACTTTATCAACACACAGCTGGACACATGGCTTTATCAACACACAGCTGGACACATGACTTTATCAACACACAGCTGGACACATGACTTTATCAACACACAGCTGGACACATGGCTTTATCAACACACAGCTGGACACATGACTTTATCAACACACAGCTGGACACATGACTTTATCAACACACAGCTGGACACATGACTTTATCAACACACAGCTGGACACATGGCTTTATCAACACACAGCTGGACACATGACTTTATCAACACACAGCTGGACACATGACTTTATCAACACACAGCTGGACACACAACTTTATCAACACACAGCTGGACACATGACTTTATCATCACACAGCTGGACACATGACTATCACCATGCAGTTGAATTTATCAACGAAGTTCAACAACTGCCATGTTTGCTGCATGACTGGACTCACCACTGAGAACATCAGGACTGATGTATGCCGGGCTACCTCTCTGGTCGCGAAGTTTATCTTTCTCAGAGTGTAACTGTTTGCCCAGACAAAAGTTGGTCAGAGTTACCCTCCATGAACGTCTGTCTACAATCATGTTGCCCAGCTTCAGGTCACGGTGCACAATATTTTTCTGAGAACATTCAAAGATGGTTAATAGGGGTCAATTAAAATAGTGGGATTTGTGTGGTATAGACGCAGTGCTGGTCAATTAAAATTGTGGGATTTGTGTGGTATAGGGGGCAGTGATGGTCAATTAAAATTGTGTGATTTGTGTGGTATAGGGGGCAGTGCTGGTCAATTAAAACTGTGAGATTTGTGTGGTATAGGGGGCAGTGCTGGTAAATTAAAATTGTGGGATTTGTGTGGTATAGGGGGCAGTGCTGGTCAATTAAAATAGTGGGATTTGTGTGGTATAGACGCAGTGCTGGTCAATTAAAATAGTGGGATTTGTGTGGTATAGGGGGCAGTGCTGGTCAATTAAAATTGTGGGATTTGTGTGGTATAGGGGGCAGTGCTGGTCAATTAAAATTGTGGGATTTGTGTGGTATAGACGCAGTGATGGTCAATTAAAATAGTGGGATTTGTGTGGTATAGGGGGCAGTGCTGGTCAATTAAAATTGTGGGATTTGTGTGGTGTAGGGGGCAGTGCTGGTCAATTAAAATTGTGGGATTTGTGTGGTATAGGGGGCAGTGCTGGTCAATTAAAATTGTGGGATTTGTGTGGTATAGGGGGCAGTGCTGGTCAATTAAAATTGTGGGATTTGTGTGGTATAGACACAGTGATGATCAATTAAAATAGTGGGATTTGTGTGGTATAGGGGGCAGTGCTGGTCAATTAAAATTGTGTGATTTGTGTGGTATAGACGCAGTGCTGGTCAATTAAAATAGTGGGATTTGTGTGGTGTAGGGGGCAGTGCTGGTCAATTAAAATTGTGGGATTTGTGTGGTATAGGGGGCAGTGCTGGTCAATTAAAATTGTGGGATTTGTGTGGTATAGGGGGCAGTGATGGTCAGTTAAAATAGTGAGATTTGTGTGGTATAGGGGGCAGTGCTGGTCAATTAAAATTGTGGGATTTGTGTGGTGTAGGGGGCAGTGCTGGTGAATTAAAATTGTGGGATTTGTGTGGTATAGGGGGCAGTGCTGGTCAATTAAAATTGTGGGATTTGTGTGGTGTAGGGGGCAGTGCTGGTCAATTAAAATTGTGGGATTTGTGTGGTGTAGGGGGCAGTGCTGGTCAATTAAAATTGTGTGATTTGTGTGGTATAGGGGGCAGTGCTGGTCAATTAAAATTGTGTGATTTGTGTGGTATAGACGCAGTGCTGGTCAATTAAAATAGTGGGATTTGTGTGGTGTAGGGGGCAGTGCTGGTCAATTAAAATTGTGGGATTTGTGTGGTATAGGGGGCAGTGCTGGTCAATTAAAATTGTGGGATTTGTGTGGTATAGGGGGCAGTGATGGTCAATTAAAATAGTGGGATTTGTGTGGTATAGGGGGCAGTGCTGGTCAATTAAAATTGTGGGATTTGTGTGGTGTAGGGGGCAGTGCTGGTCAATTAAAATTGTGGGATTTGTGTGGTATAGGGGGCAGTGCTGGTCAATTAAAATAGTGGGATTTGTGTGGTATAGACGCAGTGCTGGTCAATTAAAATAGTGGGATTTGTGTGGTGTAGGGGGCAGTGATGGTCAATTAAAATTGTGGGATTTGTGTGGTATGGACGCAGTGCTGGTCAATTAAAATAGTGGGATTTGTGTGGTATAGGGGGCAGTGCTGGTCAATTAAAATTGTGGGATTTGTGTGGTATAGTGGGCAGTGCTGGCCAATTAAAATAGTGGGATTTGTGTGGTATAGGGGGCAGTGCTGGTCAATTAAAATTGTGGGATTTGTGTGGTATAGGGGGCAGTGCTGGTCAATTAAAATTGTGGGATTTGTGTGGTATAGGGGGCAGTGCTGGTCAATTAAAATTGTGATTTGTGTGGTATAGGGGGCAGTGCTGGTCAATTAAAATTGTGTGATTTATGTGGTATAGGGGGCAGTGCTGGTCAATTAAAATTGTGGGATTTGTGTGGTATAGGGGGCAGTGCTGGTCAATTAAAATTGTGGGATTTGTGTGGTATAGGGGGCAGTGCTGGTCAATTAAAATTGTGGGATTTGTGTGGTATAGACGCAGTGCTGGTCAATTAAAATTGTGGGATTTGTGTGGTATAGACGCAGTGCTGGTCAATTAAAATTGTGGGATTTGTGTGGTATAGGGGGCAGTGCTGGTCAATTAAAATTGTGGGATTTGTGTGGTATAGGGGGCAGTGCTGGTCAATTAAAATTGTGGGATTTGTGTGGTATAGGGGGCAGTGCTGGTCAATTAAAATTGTGGGATTTGTGTGGTGTAGGGGGCAGTGCTGGTCAATTAAAATTGTGTGATTTGTGTGGTATAGGGGGCAGTGCTGGTCAATTAAAATTGTGTGATTTGTGTGGTATAGGGGGCAGTGCTGGTCAATTAAAATTGTGGGATTTGTGTGGTGTAGGGGGCAGTGCTGGTCAATTAAAATTGTGTGATTTGTGTGGTATAGGGGGCAGTGCTGGTCAATTAAAATTGTGGGATTTGTGTGGTATAGGGGGCAGTGCTGGTTGTGGCCATTACACAGACATTGGGACAGAGTGTGCTTGTCTTCTGTTAGTTTAAAACCCACACAGACATGGGGACAGAGTGTGCTTGTCTTCTATTAGTTTAAAACCCACACAGACATGGGGACAGAGTGTGCTTGTCTTCTATTAGTTTAAAACCCACACAGACATTGCTACAAGGGGACAGAGTGTGCTTGTCTTCTGTTAGTTTAAAACCCACACAGACATTGCTACAAGGGGACAGAGTGTGCTTGTCTTCTGTTAGTTTAAAACCCACAAACCTTGTGAAGCTGCTCCACAATTCTTGCAATGTCCCAAAATATAATCAAAGCCTCTTTCTCATTCAGCTTTTTCTCATGGATGACATGGTGTTGGAGGTTAATGAGGAACTGAGATTCAGGCTCGTAGTCATGCGCCATCAGACAGTCCACCACCAGACACAGGCGCTTGACCAGCCTCTTCTCTCTCGTGTCCCAGGCCTGGTCCTGGGGTAAACAAACTTTTAGGTCAGTTGAGGTCAGACATGAAGAAATCTCTACATTGGACAACTCCTTGAGTGAGTGAGACACTACCTTAAAGAAATCTCTACAATGGACAACTCCTTGAGTGAGTGAGACACTACCTTAAAGAAATCTCTACAATGGACAGCTCCTTGAGTGAGTGAGACACTAAGTACCTTAAAGAAATCTCTACAATGGACAACTCCTTGAGTGAGTGAGACACTACCTTAAAGAAATCTCTACAATGGACAACTCCTTGAGTGAGTGAGACACTACCTTAAAGAAATCTCTACAATGGACAACTCCTTGAGTGAGTGAGACACTACCTTAAAGAAATCTCTACAATGGACAACTCCTTGAGTGAGTGAGACACTACCTTAAAGAAATCTCTACAATGGACAACTCCTTGAGTGAGTGAGACACTACCTTAAAGAAATCTCTACAATGGATAACACCTTGAGTGAGTGAGACACTACCTTAAAGAAATCTCTACAATGGACAACTCCTTGAGTGAGTGAGACACTACCTTAAAGAAATCTCTACAATGGACAACTCCTTGAGTGAGTGAGACACTACCTTAAAGAAATCTCTACAATGGACAACTCCTTGAGTGAGTGAGACACTACCTTAAAGAAATCTCTACAATGGACAACTCCTTGAGTGAGTGAGACACTACCTTAAAGAAATCTCTACAATGGACAACTCCTTGAGTGAGTGAGACACTACCTTAAAGAAATCTCTACAATGGACAACTCCTTGAGTGAGTGAGACACTAAGTACCTTAAAGAAATCTCTACAATGGACAACTCCTTGAGTGAGTGAGACACTACCTTAAAGAAATCTCTACAATGGACAACTCCTTGAGTGAGTGAGACACTACCTTAAAGAAATCTCTACAATGGACAACTCCTTGAGTGAGTGAGACACTACCTTAAAGAAATCTCTACAATGGACAACTCCTTGAGTGAGTGAGACACTACCTTAAAGAAATCTCTACAATGGACAACTCCTTGAGTGAGTGAGACACTACCTTAAAGAAATCTCTACAATGGACAACTCCTTGAGTGAGTGAGACACTACCTTAAAGAAATCTCTACAATGGACAACTCCTTGAGTGAGTGAGACACTACCTTAAAGAAATCTCTACAATGGACAACTCCTTGAGTGAGTGAGACACTACCTTAAAGAAATCTCTACAATGGACAACTCCTTGAGTGAGTGAGACACTACCTTAAAGAAATCTCTACAATGGACAACTCCTTGAGTGAGTGAGACACTACCTTAAAGAAATCTCTACAATGGACAACTCCTTGAGTGAGTGAGACACTACCTTAAAGAAATCTCTACAATGGACAACTCCTTGAGTGAGTGAGACACTACCTTAAAGAAATCTCTACAATGGACAACTCCTTGAGTGAGTGAGACATTACCTTAAAGAAATCTCTACAATGGACAACTCCTTGAGTGAGTGAGACACTACCTTAAAGAAATCTCTACAATGGACAACTCCTTGAGTGAGTGAGACACTACCTTAAAGAAATCTCTACAATGGACAACTCCTTGAGTGAGTGAGACACTACCTTAAAGAAATCTCTACAATGGACAACTCCTTGAGTGAGTGAGACACTACCTTAAAGAAATCTCTACAATGGACAACTCCTTGAGTGAGTGAGACACTACCTTAAAGAAATCTCTACAATGGACAACTCCTTGAGTGAGTGAGACATTACCTTAAAGAAATCTCTACAATGGACAACTCCTTGAGTGAGTGAGACACTACCTTAAAGAAATCTCTACAATGGACAACTCCTTGAGTGAGTGAGACACTACCTTAAAGAAATCTCTACAATGGACAACTCCTTTAGTGAGTGAGACACTACCTTAAAGAAATCTCTACAATGGACAACTCCTTGAGTGAGTGAGACACTACCTTAAAGAAATCTCTACAATGGACAACTCCTTGAGTGAGTGAGACACTACCTTAAAGAAATCTCTACAATGGACAACTCCTTGAGTGAGTGAGACACTACCTTAAAGAAATCTCTACAATGGACAACTCCTTGAGTGAGTGAGACACTACCTTAAAGAAATCTCTACAATGGACAACTCCTTGAGTGAGTGAGACACTACCTTAAAGAAATCTCTACAATGGACAACTCCTTGAGTGAGTGAGACACTACCTTAAAGAAATCTCTACAATGGACAACTCCTTGAGTGAGTGAGACACTACCTTAAAGAAATCTCTACAATGGACAACTCCTTGAGTGAGTGAGACACTACCTTAAAGAAATCTCTACAATGGACAACTCCTTGAGTGAGTGAGACACTACCTTAAAGAAATCTCTACAATGGACAACTCCTTGAGTGAGTGAGACACTACCTTAAAGAAATCTCTACAATGGACAACTCCTTTAGTGAGTGAGACACTACCTTAAAGAAATCTCTACAATGGACAACTCCTTGAGTGAGTGAGACACTACCTTAAAGAAATCTCTACAATGGACAACTCCTTGAGTGAGTGAGACACTACCTTAAAGAAATCTCTACAATGGACAACTCCTTGAGTGAGTGAGACAGTACCTTAAAGAAATCTCTACAATGGACAACTCCTTGAGTGAGTGAGACACTACCTTAAAGAAATCTCTACAATGGACAACTCCTTGAGTGAGTGAGACACTACCTTAAAGAAATCTCTACAATGGACAACTCCTTGAGTGAGTGAGACACTACCTTAAAGAAATCTCTACAATGGACAACTCCTTGAGTGAGTGAGACACTACCTTAAAGAAATCTCTACAATGGACAACTCCTTGAGTGAGTGAGACACTACCTTAAAGAAATCTCTACAATGGACAACTCCTTGAGTGAGTGAGACACTACCTTAAAGAAATCTCTACAATGGACAACTCCTTGAGTGAGTGAGACACTACCTTAAAGAAATCTCTACAATGGACAACTCCTTGAGTGAGTGAGACACTACCTTAAAGAAATCTCTACAATGGACAACTCCTTGAGTGAGTGAGACACTACCTTAAAGAAATCTCTACAATGGACAACTCCTTGAGTGAGTGAGACATTACCTTAAAGAAATCTCTACAATGGACAACTCCTTGAGTGAGTGAGACACTACCTTAAAGAAATCTCTACAATGGACAACTCCTTTAGTGAGTGAGACACTACCTTAAAGAAATCTCTACAATGGACAACTCCTTGAGTGAGTGAGACACTACCTTAAAGAAATCTCTACAATGGACAACTCCTTGAGTGAGTGAGACATTACCTTAAAGAAATCTCTACAATGGACAACTCCTTGAGTGAGTGAGACATTACCTTAAAGAAATCTCTACAATGGACAACTCCTTGAGTGAGTGAGACACTACCTTAAAGAAATCTCTACAATGGACAACTCCTTGAGTGAGTGAGACACTACCTTAAAGAAATCTCTACAATGGACAACTCCTTGAGTGAGTGAGACACTACCTTAAAGAAATCTCTACAATGGACAACTCCTTGAGTGAGTGAGACACTACCTTAAAGAAATCTCTACAATGGACAACTCCTTGAGTGAGTGAGACACTACCTTAAAGAAATCTCTACAATGGACAACTCCTTGAGTGAGTGAGACACTACCTTAAAGAAATCTCTACAATGGACAACTCCTTGAGTGAGTGAGACATTACCTTAAAGAAATCTCTACAATGGACAACTCCTTGAGTGAGTGAGACATTACCTTAAAGAAATCTCTACAATGGACAACTCCTTGAGTGAGTGAGACACTACCTTAAAGAAATCTCTACAATGGACAACTCCTTTAGTGAGTGAGACACTACCTTAAAGAAATCTCTACAATGGACAACTCCTTGAGTGAGTGAGACACTACCTTAAAGAAATCTCTACAATGGACAACTCCTTGAGTGAGTGAGACATTACCTTAAAGAAATCTCTACAATGGACAACTCCTTGAGTGAGTGAGACACTACCTTAAAGAAATCTATACAATGGACAACTCCTTTAGTGAGTGAGACACTACCTTAAAGAAATCTCTACAATGGACAACTCCTTGAGTGAGTGAGACACTACCTTAAAGAAATCTCTACAATGGACAACTCCTTGAGTGAGTGAGACACTACCTAAAAGAAATCTCTACAATGGACAACTCCTTGAGTGAGTGAGACATTACCTTAAAGAAATCTATACAATTGACAACTCCTTGAGTGAGTGAGACACTACCTTAAAGAAATCTCTACAATGGACAACTCCTTGAGTGAGTGAGACATTACCTTAAAGAAATCTCTACAATGGACAACTCCTTGAGTGAGTGAGACATTACCTTAAAGAAATCTCTACAATGGACAACTCCTTGAGTGAGTGAGACACTACCTTAAAGAAATCTCTACAATGGACAACTCCTTGAGTGAGTGAGACACTACCTTAAAGAAATCTCTACAATGGACAACTCCTTGAGTGAGTGAGACACTACCTTAAAGAAATCTCTACAATGGACAACTCCTTGAGTGAGTGAGACACTACCTTAAAGAAATCTCTACAATGGACAACTCCTTGAGTGAGTGAGACACTACCTTAAAGAAATCTCTACAATGGACAACTCCTTGAGTGAGTGAGACACTACCTTAAAGAAATCTCTACAATGGACAACTCCTTGAGTGAGTGAGACACTACCTTAAAGAAATCTCTACAATGGACAACTCCTTGAGTGAGTGAGACACTACCTTAAAGAAATCTCTACAATGGACAACTCCTTGAGTGAGTGAGACACTACCTTAAAGAAATCTCTACAATGGACAACTCCTTGAGTGAGTGAGACACTACCTTAAAGAAATCTCTACAATGGACAACTCCTTGAGTGAGTGAGACACTACCTTAAAGAAATCTCTACAATGGACAACTCCTTGAGTGAGTGAGACACTACCTTAAAGAAATCTCTACAATGGACAACTCCTTTAGTGAGTGAGACACTACCTTAA